AAGCTTAATTTAACAATAAATCAATGTTTCTTTCGTTTAGAATTCATAATTATACTACTTAGGAACTAAAAATACGAATGCGAGTTTATTTATGTTGTTCAGAAGAAAAAAAACTATAGCATACTAGTCAGATACAATTTTAGAAAAAGTGTAAATAGTGGTAATAATTCAGATCACATATGGAATGTAAAAAAAATGTCGAGTTGAGAATTAAGATGTAGCTTTATCTACCATTTTTTGTCCTTTTTTTGAAGCAAAAAATGTACGCATTGCATTTAAGGCTGATCCAGCCTTGAACCATCCAATCTGAGCTTCATTGAATGTATGATTAAGTTTAATAGTTTCACTTTTACCATTTGAATGTTTAATACGACATTCAATCGGCTAGAAATAAGGAAATAAATTTATAATTCAAAAAAAAAAGAACTAAATATACTTGATTAGGTGCGAATTTATCAAGGCCAATTAATGAAATTTTATCATCAGGTTTAATTTTATCATAATCAGCTGGATTATCAAAAGTTAAAGCAAGTAAACCTTGTTTTTTTAAATTTGTTTCTTAAATAAATCATAAATTATTCATTATTTTCTTTGTTAAATATATATTTATTTACCATGAATACGAGCAAAACTTTTAACAATAATTGCACGGCCACCAAGATGTCGTGGTTCAAGTGCTGCATGTTCACGACTACTACCTTCACCATAATTTTCATCACCGATAACAACCCAAGGCGTATTTTTACTCTTGATTTTAAAGAATAACATAAGAATTAACAATACAAAACATTTATTTTTACCTTATAATAACGAGCAGTATCAGGCACTTTACCCCATTCACTTGTTATTCGATTTTTTACTTTATTTGCTTCATCATTTTCTTCATTGACAGCTCTAGAAAATCAATATTATGTGACTATCATTCGAATTTGAAAATTTACATACGCAATAAACATATTATTAGAGATATTATCTAAATGTCCTCGATATTTCAACCATGGTCCAGCTGCACTAATATGATCAGTTGTACATTTTCCTTTAATTTTAATAAGAATTGCATAATCAATAAAATCTTTTCCATCCCATTCTTGAAATGGTTCGAGTAATTGAAGACGAGTACTTTTAGGATCAACATCAACTTTAAGTGAACCACCATCACTAGGTGGTTCTTGATAAGTATCCTCACCTGGATCAAAACCTTTTGCTGGTAAATTATCACCAGTTGGTGGTTCTAATTTAAATTCACTACCATCAGCAGCTGTTAATGAATCACTTAAAGGATTAAAACGAAGATCACCACTTAAAACCATAGCTGTCACAATATCTGGTGATGTAACAAATGCATGTGTATGTGGATTAGCATCATTACGACCAGTAAAATTACGGTTATAAGATGAAATAATCGTATTTTTTTCACCTTTTTTTATATCTTTACGATCCCATTGACCAATACATGGACCACAAGCATTTGCTAAAACAATACCACCAATACCACGAAGTTTTTCAGCCTTTTGAAAAAAAAATTTAATAATAAATAACGAAAAAATATCAATTCTTACAATTCCATCACGTTCGATTGTTGCTCGAACTTGTTCTGAACCTGGTGTAACAGTAAATATTGTTTTAGCTTTAATACCTTTATCAATAGCTTGTTGAGCAATACTAGCTGCTCGTGTCATATCTTCATAAGAACTATTTGTACAACTACCAATAAGACCTATTCATTAAGTCAAAGATATTATATAAATAAAGTTAATATTGATAATACTCTTACCAACACGAATATCAAGTGGCCATTTATTTTTTTCTGCTTCTTTACCTAATCTATCTATTGGATGTGCAAGATCAGGTGTGAATGGACCATTAACATGTGGTTCAAGCTAAAGAAATTTTAAAATTAAAAATAATAATTCAAACTTTTATTTTACCTCAGATAAATTAATATCAATAACACGATCATATTTTGCACCTTCATCAGCTGTTAATAAATTATCTTTATATTCATTAGCCAAATTAGCAATATCTATTTAATTAAATCTATAAAATATTTTCTGTAAAAATAAAACTAATTTTCAACTACCTTCACGTTTCGTTGCTTTAAGATATTCACCCATACGGCTATTATAAGGAAATACTGAAGTTGTAGCACCAATTTCTGCACCCATATTGCAAATTGTACCCATTCCTAATATACAATGGAAAAAAAACATAATTATTTTCTTTTTCTATTTTAAGAAAATAAAATAATTTTATTTTACCAGTACATGAAATGGATTCAACACCAGGTCCAAAATATTCAATTATTGCACCAGTACCACCTTTAACTGTTAGAATACCAGCTAATTTAAGAATAACATCTTTCGGTGCTGTCCAACCACTTAATTCACCAGTTAATCGAACACCAATAACCTTAACAATAATACAAAAAACATTGTTTTTTAATTTATTTTATTTTATTTTACTTTGGGACATTTAACTTCCCATGGCATATTAGCCATAACATCGACTGCATCAGCACCACCAACACCAATACAAAGACCGCCTAGACCACCCCCATTTGGTGTATGACTATCTGTACCAATTAATAATAAACCTGGATAAGCATAGTTTTCGAGAACGATCTATGTGAAATATCAAATTAGTTTGTATTTAATAAAAGTTTTTCTATTCATACTTGATGAATAATACCACTGCCTGGTTTCCAAAATCCAATGTCATATTTAGCACTAGCTGTTGCCAAGAAGTTGAAAACTTCTTTGTTGAGATCCTACAAAATATGTTCTTAAATATTCTACTTATTTAAACTTACAAAATTTAATATTTTAACGTGATATGAATTTTATAATTATCTATGATGTCTATGAAAAGAATTGATATTCTGAAAAATTAGATTAATAACCCAGTAGGATAGAAACAATGGCTCGAGGGAATAAATCGTTATTAGCCTTTTTATATTTTATTAAGATCTATTTATCATCAAAAGATAGACTTCAAATAGTTCGAACGTGTGGGAATGCTCTCTTTCGTGAAATATCTTTTTAGTCTAATTTAATTATGTCAGAAAAGATTATTCATAAAAAAGATTTAATATTTTTCAGAATTATAGTAGAGAAATGGATTCATCTTTTTGTATTAATACTTGTAATAGTATCAAGCTGATTTAGACGGGAGGGAGGCTAAGTACTTGTAGGTAATTTTATTACACATCTATTATAAGATGTATAATGTTTATGTCAAAAAGTTGTCAAGAGATGCACTTCAACCCTTTTAAGGTTTCATCTTCTTTTGTTATTCATAAATGAATTTGAATGAAAGTAAAAATAAGGTTTCTTTAGATAATGTATCTGCATTCAGACGTGTCAGTCTCTATATCAACAAAAACATCTGACTTTTCAATTCAATTCACTTATATCAAACAACATATGTACCTTTGCTCGTTTTAAATCTTCTTCTCCGCCAGTTTGTGCTTCAATTAAATGATCACAATGAATTGTTGTTGGACATAAGACACTTGGTAAACCCGATGATATAAATTGAAGTACAGCCATTTGTGCAGTTGCATCTTGCATAGCAACACGATCAGGGCGTAAGCGTAAATATGATTTACCACGCTTGAATTCCTATGAACAAAACAATGACAAATTTTTTCGATATACCTTTTATATTTACTTGATTTTTTGGATCATCAGCATGTGAATAGAGAATTTTTTCGGAAAGTGTTAATGGTTGATTAAGTCTAAATAATAATCGTTTTGTTTTTCGAATTTAATAAAAATAAATATACCGTTTTTTAACAACTTCTAAAGTAGATGCTTGTTTTTCATAATCAATATATTTATTTGGTTCAAATCGAGAAAGAGAAACCTTAAATATATATTTTAATGGAAAGAAAAACGAAAATAATGATTTTATACCTTCGATGTCTTTTCATTTGTTGCAGCATAAACTGTACGGGTTAAGCAAAGACGTCGAAGAGGTAAAATCGTTTGTGTAGCATTAGCAAACTAGAAAATAATATGAATTGATTTTAAAACTAAAATTAATCGCACTATTTTCTTCATACTCGCTCTACACTTGAAACGAGCGAATATCCGCCCCGTGACAACATTGAGAATAATATCAGATCAACGTAGATTATAAAAAAAATACCGTAAATAATAAACCCAAATTTACCTTAAGTGCGATAAACACACGAATATATGATAAAATGTAAGAGAGATGTCGCTACAATCTTTGAAATGAATTATTTTATAATAAAAAATTCTTTTCATAAAACTAAAATATTCATGAGAAGATAAAAAGAATATTTTCTTTATAAAATTTAATTGAATAAAATATTCAAAGTATTGTATTGGTATAATTTCTTCTACGAATCAGATAGATTTCATTAGAAAAAAATTTCTTTTTCTTTCTAAAAGATGATGATTTAAATAAATATATATAATCTATGGTAAATTTAATTAGAATAAATATTTCATTTACAATAATCTATTTCTTATAGAATACAAATTCATTTACATCTGATTCCGCTGGAGTTTCATCTTCAAATCCATTTCTTTCAATATCAGATTCATCAAATCTGATATCTAGTTCAAATAATAATAATAATGATCAAACATCAACGAAATTAAATCGACGTTTTTCATGTACTGTTTGTAATATTGATTTAGGAAATCAGAAACATTTTAATTCACATTTGAACAGTCGACAACATCAACAAGTAGGATTTCCCTATGAAACTAATAACTAAAGATTGAAAATAAGAATTTATATCCTTGTCCTTTAATTCAATAAAGAATATTCTGGATTTTATCTCGTGCATACTACGACATAAACTGTCTTTTTTTTCAAAAATAATTTTCTTCGTAAAATCATACGATACAATAGTTTATATTGAGTAAATTTTCGATGCTATGATATTTTGATTCGTAGAGATTTAATAGAATAAGATCTATTTCTTAATAAAAATTATTTCTTTTATTTTCAAGGCTCAAAGTATTCACGATGTATTACAATCAGGTAATTAAATTTATTTTATTTTGTAAGGTTGAGGTAATTCAAAATTCGAGCACATTTTTTTATACGTACTTCGATGCGTTGAATCAGAATATGTATAGTCTCTCAAAAAAAGTCCCATTTGAATCCCTGACTGTGAATATAAATTTCATATCTAAAAAAACAAAGCGAGTTACAGGAAAAATGCTTAACTTTTATCAATGTTATGTAAGGAATTTAACGACAATCAAATGAAGGCTTTATCTCTTCGTAAAAATGACTTGATGCGTTTTTCATGAGAGAAATCTGGTTTTCGAGCTCTTAACATAAACAGCGTTTCTGGAACAAGGACTGAAAGATCAGTTTATCATGTAGAATAAGAAAAGCAACTTTTAAATTTCGTTGTTTTTTCAAAGACTATATATATTCTAATTCATCGCATCGAAGCATGTAAAGAAAAAAGTGCTTGATCTTTTGAATTGCCTCAATCTTATTTATCTATTTTAAAATTGTATTTTTTTTTTCATAACAAAAAAGTTGCACCTGAATATCGTCCGGCATATAAAGCAATGTTTTCACCTGAAATGCTCAATAAAAAAGTATTTAATCGTGAATTATTATGTGAAAAACAAATTAAAGAAACAAAAGAACCTTTATTAGGTATATTTCAATATTTTCATTCTTCATAATTTCGTTTTGTTTTTCTAAATACTCAAGGATTAAATTGTATTATCGAATTCCAATTTGAAAATTCAACTAATTCTGCTCAATATATATGTGAATTATGTCATTGTAAATGTTCATCACAATCAATTCTATCTCATATAACAAATATTCAACATCAACGAAAATTTTTGGTATAATTTTTATCTTTAGCGAAAAATATCTATATGTATTTGATTTTATTAGAAAATTCATCATCCAGATATGTATCAACGTGTGCTAACAGCATCAAATATTCGTTCTGAACAACAACGTTTAATTGAAAATTATGCTAAACAAATACAATCAAGACATGGCGGTCCAGGCAGTGTTCAATTACATATTCAACTCGATTCATTTATTGGACAAAAACCAATTGTACTTGCTGTTACATTTCAAAATCATAATGGACAAAATTCTAAAGAACAAAAAATCTTATCGATACAACTAACATCTAAAACTTTTGAAGAATATGACTATAGATATGAAAATGAACCAAATATCAGTAAGTTTATTTTATGATCATAATACCAATATGATATTTTAATAAAAACAATTAATTTTAGAAAATGAACAATTTACATCCGAGTAAGTCGAAATATTTCATAAGTAAAATTAAAATTAATTTTTTTATGAATATTAAGAATGATAGAAAATAATCATGAAGGTTTGTTTTAAATATTTTTATCTTTGTTCTATTAATTATTGAATTTTAAAGATTCAGTTCAACGTGGTTTAACTCCAGAAGATTTACTCTATCCATTTGATAGACAGTTCTGGTATCAAAATTATAAAGATCTTCTAGAATCTCGTCCAATTGATCCACATTCAGTAACATATCAAGAAATAATGTAAGCCATTTAAACTATAATATACACGCATTTTGTGTTTACTTTTTAGACCGGAAACGACTAATTTACAACCATTTCAAAATATATCAGTATGTTAAATATTAAAAGAAAGTTCATTGTGAGAAAATATGATTAACTATAGAGTGTGGTACTTAAGAATACGACAAAATCGTTGAAAAGAATTTTATTGATTGAATCAATAATTCTTATCTTTTTTTTTTGATTTATTCATTTTTATATCTAATCTCTTTATTTTAGGACAATACACATTCCTCTCCTTTATCTATTATTGCCAATGAAAATTATATAACGCTTGAAAATGGTCAAACCATTCGTCGTAATACTAGTCAACCATCAAATCGTCGTGTTATACTTGATACAAATCGAATACCAACACTAACGGATACTGGTATATTACGGATATCACCGACGAAACATAAACCAAATTTTGATGGTTATACATTATTGAATGAACAACAAAAGAAAACAAATGGAACAAATGCTGTACTTAATGAGCAATCAGCACGTGCTATATTAGCAGCAAGTGGACTTCTACAATCGGATGAAGAGGATGAAGATATGAATCTATCGATAAAAAAAACGAATGATGAATTAAATAAAAGATCTGAACAAAGTGTTTCACCATTAATTGCTAAACGAATGCTTGATGCCGTTTTAAATGGTGATTTAGATGTTGCACATATTCAACCATATTTTTCAACATTTGTCAATTTAATACAATCTGGACAAGTTGAATTAGAACGTCATCAAGCTGAAAGATTATTACATAAAGTTTTAGTCACATCATCTACATCTTCGTCACCGACGGTGGCAATAACCGAGCCAGTAACAAATAGTAACAAACGAACACGATCAGATAGTCATTCGAGAGGTAAAATGAGTATGTGATTATATATAACTATAATAACGTCGACAATAAATCTAGAACGTCGTTCTTCATCAACAACTAGACATCATCATTATCCTAATCATGAATATCATTCACCAATAGAATCTAATACAAAAAAATATTCATCATCATCATCATCATCATCAACAACAACAACAAAACGTATTCATGTGAAAAACGAGAATAAAACAACAAATGGAAAATAACCCTATCAACAAGAAATGCGTAAAATATCGTGAAATATGTATAAATATATATATATATATAATTTTCAACTGTGTTTTTTTCCTTTTTTCTTTTAAAACAGAGATATATATATCTGTTCTTTTTTCCTCTCGACTTTCATTACAAGACACTTCAATTTATTGTTTAGAGAAACAAACGATCTAATGACAACCATATTACTCTATAGAAGTTCTTTTCTCTTTTCTAACTTTTACAATTTACAGACATAAAGATTATAAAATTTCTTTTTTTTTTCTCATGTAAGTATAACATACTTAGTATGTCATTATGATCTTTTCTTCTTTTTTTTTTGATTACAGATAAAATAAGTGAGACTCATAGATAAACATATTTGTTACACTTTTTTTTCTCTTCGTTTCTTTTGCTATTGTTGTTATTTTTTCTTTTTATATGTTGAAGATATTCAATACTAGAATCAAACTATTTTTCTTTTCTACTTTTCTTTTCAATACTTATTGAATCACAAGAATAGTTACTTTGTTTATATGAAGTTCATAGATAATAATGTCTCACATTAATAGAATGAAGAAAATATTTTGAATCACTCTACGCTCGTAAAATTCCTGATATTAAAACAAATAGCACAAAATAAAGACTTTTTATAATTGATCTCTTTAAACTAAATCCTCATTTACACATAGATGATACCTAATAACGTCAAATGTTTTTATTCCTAAAGGCTAAAATCTAGTTATTGTCTAAGAGAAAAATTAATAATCAAGATTATTATCTAAAAATTGACTGTCTGAATAATGCAAAACAAGACTCTTTCTTTCGTTTAGTAATAATTGCTCTCTTGATACTTAAATAAGTGTATTGATGCGGGAAAAGTTATAGAAAATAGCAGACGTAAGAAATGATCGTAAAAAGACTAGCTTGAATGAACAACTTGATAGAATAACGACCTCGACTATAGTTTTATTCTTGCAGTTCCGGACTCAATAGAACGGCCTAGTTTAAAAAAAGAAAAATACTCTAATAACAAATTTTCATAAAAATCAAGTCGAATATTTATAAACAAAATATGAATGAATTAAATCTATCATGAAAATTATTTCAAAACAAAAAAAAATTGTTCTATCCTCATTATTTCTAACTGATACATAGCGCCATCTTTAGATTAAAATTTCAATTAATTCGTTAAAATAAATATAAAGAATAGTCGTATATATTCATCATAATTCGTATTAATAGTAACTTATTCTGATTTTTCTGTATTATATTTTTTAATCCCTTAATAAACCAATAATAATCAAGCATTCTTTTCTTCCTTATTTTTTTGTTTCATTAGGGTTTTTTTTATTTATTTGTTATTCTCTCTTGACAGCTCTAAGATTTTCGAGGGATATACATTATTTATAAATTTATCCAAATCAATATGGCATTTTTTGCTTAAGTATAAAAAATAATACTAATCAGTCTTCTTGTTATATGCCATATCATCCTTTATTTTATTAGATGAGCTACAAAAATAACTATTATCAATGATGCTGTAGTATCTATTATTACTCATGGCGTATACAATGTTAATAAAAATATCCTTAGCAAATAGTCAATAAAATTCATATATATATCTTTACGAGATACTGATGAAGCATTTGATCAATATCGGCATGACAAAAAGTTAATAAAAATTATTGCAAATACTCACACAACTCAAGTAAATATATATCGATAGTCTGTTTTATATCATATAAATATATATATCTGTAGATGTTCAAAAAAAAGAATTTTAAATGGCTTCTTGATGTTTCAATATGTATTCATCGATGATCATTTTTTTTCTTGATTAAAAGTTAGAAAATCTCGAGTATAGTTTATTTTCTAAAGTTTACATTTTAATAGAATAGACAAGAGAAAGTTTTTATTGGATAGATCAATCAAAGACTCTCTTTCGCATTTTGTTGATTATAGAGAGAAATATTGTTATTATATATGTTGGGGTCGTGCGTCGAACACAACAGAACAACAACAACATATTGCTATTCTTTCCTTTTTTTTTTCTTTTCCTCTCTTTCTTACTCCGTTCTATCAAAGCAACTTCATGGCAACATTCAAACGGGTTAAGATAAACAATGTATATGCATATATATATATATATATATTGGTTATACTTTTTTTTTATATTTGTCTACTAAGACAATTAAATTTTGACCTCTTAGATTTTTTTTTCCTACTAGAAAAAAAATGCAGAGCGATAGGGGACAGAGAATGGACAAACAAGAAATATTGACCGAGAGAACGGAAAAAAAACAGAAGGTTAAACTCATTATTGATATTTTATTGTAGATTGTCGTTGAATGAATTCTTTTTTTTCTTAAAAACTGAAATGAGAGTAACAACAACAAACAGAACATCTAAACTTCAAACAGCAACGAGAGCTAAAACATCATCAACAACTATACTTAATGAACAAACAGGCCATTTACAAAATGGAACAACGATTGTTTCACCAACATCATCAAATAATGTAATTTATAATTAATGATATATTTCATTTATTTTTTATTTCTCTCATTAGGGTACACTACGTTTAATTGATTCAGGTGATTATATATCAACTGCTGTATCACCACCCCAACAACAACCGGTAACAACATCAACAATGCTTCAATATTTACAACCATCATCAAATGCAATACAAAATATGCTTATTCAACAAATACTAACAAGTCCTGAACAGGTATATAATTTATATGATGTAACAGGTCAACTTGTATATATATATATATATATATATACATATCCCTCTCTGTCTCTATTTATCAAACGTCTATGGTCATTTATGAAGCCTACAATATGTGTCTTTTCATACATAGACTATGAACAATATGAATTTGCTTTTTCATTTTTTTTTTCTTCCCTCTTTTTCTTTCGCTCTCTGTCTTTCTTTGACATCTCATTCGTTGTACGACAAACATCGCGCAGGATGTTGCTTATAGTGTTCGCTTGTGAGGACGGCTAAAAAAACAACATATAGAGAGAATAAGAACGAGAAGGAAAGAAAATTAATAATAGAGTAAAAAAAAAACGAAGAAAAGAGAAAGAAAGAAACACAACAAAAAATAATAATAATAACAACAACAACAACAACAACCACCACCATCATCGACGACGAGAGACTATCTCTCCTATTTGTATTGTTTCATATATGCGCTATATGGAATTTTTGAAAACGAATATTAATCGATGAAAATTTCACTATTACATCTTATATAACATTCTCTACTTTATATTATCTAGCAACGTCTTCTTGTTGAAAAAATCAACCAACAATTAAGTGAACAAATTCAACTTAATCTTGTTCAAACACCGCCACCACCACCAACCACAACAACATCAAATTCTGACGTTATTAAACAAATTCAAGTAAATAAAAAAAAGTTTTTTTTATTTATTTATCATTTATTTTAATTTCAGAATCAATTAGCTAATCAACAACTTCTGCTTCAACAAGTTACCTCTAAACAACAACAACAACAACAACAGCAGCAACAACAAATTCCTAGTTTATTCAGTATTACAAATTCAAATAATTCTAATCAACCAACAACAGCTACTGTTCAATATTTAACAACAACACCAAGTAATTCATCGACTGCTGGTAAGAATATTTTTTTTTCTTTTTCTTTTCAATTTCAAACTTGAAAGAAAACGCTTTTTTTAATCAATAAACAATATATATAAATGTATACAGAATCTCCATCGGTAATTTCAATATCAACACGTCCTTATCATCAGACATCAACCATCAACCTTACAGATCTGTTGAATGCAGATCGAACCACTACTGGTTCGTTAGTTCGAAAAAAGAAAAAAAAAGCCTAGTCTCATTTTTCCTTTCGAATGATTTTGTGCGTGTATTAATCCATAATTTATTTCATTGCTTTCAGTTTTGCATGTTTGTTTTTTGTTTATTACAAAAAAAAATATTAAAAATAAACATGAAATATTTACTGTTCTTTTTTTTTGTTTCTTAATAGGTTTAAATCTACTCGGAACAAATCCTAATACATCAACTGAAACTCGTATTATAATGCCGACAGCAACAACAACAACAATAAATCGTTCTGTACAACAAGATTTATCTAATAATCCATTATATCAACGAAATTATTGTCGGTGGCCAAGTTGTGATACATTATGTTCGTCATTAATTGATTTTAATCGACATCTTAATGATGAACATTCACTTGATGATCGTTCTGTTGCTCAAGCACGTGTACAACAACATGTTGTACAACAATTAGAAGCATTATTAACACGTGAACGAGAAATTCTTCAATCTATGATGAAACATTTACATGGAGGAAATTCACAAATTAATTCAAATGGTGCATCAACATCAAATTCCACAGCAACAACAGCACATATTATAACACATCAACCATCACGTACATTAGCATCATATCATAATAATCGTTCAGCGCAATTATCATCACCAACATCATCGACACTTCATCATTTACCTATTGTTAAATTAGAAAATGCATTTTTAACATCAGCTGGTCTAGTTAAAACAACAACACCACAAGATCTATCATCAGTAAATAATGCAACAACATCAACAATTTTACGTGCAAGTGCATCAAGTTCACCACCACCTGTTCATACAGTTGAAGAAGAAGTTGGAGATGATACACAAGAAGATGATGATGAAGAGGATGATGATGATGATGATATGGTTGATACAAATGGTAATACATCAACACCATCGAGATCAAATGGAAATAATTTATCAATTGTTTCAATGGGTTCAGTTGGCAAACATCAATTGAGTAGAAAAGCAAAAGGAATGTTGGCGTTAGGTGGAAAAAGAGCGGGAAAAGGAAAAGGTTGGTTCAATGAGGATGTTTATCTAACTCATAAAAAATTTCTCAAAAATCTGTTAGACAAAATTTGAATTCAATAGTTTTAAAAGATATTCTCAGACATCAATAGTTTATTATTTCGTTTAATAATAAATAACTACCTAAATCTAGTTTTAGAATTAAAGAATCGAGACTATTATATGACACACGACGTGCGACCACCATTTACATATGCAACATTAATTCGTCAAGTATGTCATTTAAAAGAAAAGAATTCTAATTATAGTATTATATATATATTGTAGGCAATTATAGAATCTCCGGATAATCAATTAACATTAAATGAAGTCTATAAATGGTTTGAAGCACAATTTCTTTATTTTCGTAAAAATGCTCAAACATGGAAGGTATATATATTCTTTTATGATCTTTAATTTAATTTTAATTATCTTTTATTCATTTTCATAGAATGCTGTACGACATAATTTATCGTTACATAAATGTTTTATGCGTGTGGAGAATATAAAAGGTGCAGTATGGACTGTAGATGAAAATGAATTTTGTAAAAGACGTTTAACACGTGGTGCAGAAAAAGGAAATCATCATAATGAATCATCATCATCGTATGGGTAACAAATAAAAAAATTTATTCTATGAAAATTTAAAATTATAAAATTTTTCTAGTCATAATACATCTACTGGAGATGATCAAGCATTGTATTCCTATCCATTTGGTATGGAAGATGATTATAAAGATTTCAAAGTAAGAATAAAAAAAAAGAAAAGATAAATTTTATTTTCGTATTATTATTTTAGGGTCTTCTAAATTCACATAATGTCGAAGATGATGATGATGATGATAATTCCAATAGTGTTAATGAAAATAATGGTTCACATAATGATCAATCAAGAGGTATTAATCATAATCAATATGATCAGACTGATGATGATGATGGGCAAAATGATATAAGGTTAGGAGAGAAAACCAAACAAAGAATATTTATATTATTTCTTATATTTTAGTCTAACACATGGAGATGATGAACAAGTTGATGAATAAAAACGAAAAGAAAAATCTTATTTCCAACAGACATTATGTCAGATAAATATTCTCTTTATTCAACGCACGCACATATATAACAGTAGATTTTTCTCTCCACTCATTTTTTTCTTCTTCTTCATTGCCTTAGTCTATATACAATGTATATAGTTTTTTTTCTTCTTTTTCTTTTCTTGTGGTTAATTAAACGTTGACTTATTCAAATTCTTCTATTGGGCATATTGCTCTTCTATATCGGTTTTGGTTTTTCTTTTTTCTTTTTTTTTTCTTTTTTCGCTGTGCTTGTTAACAATGCACAATGCTTTTTTGTTGTCTGTAGTGTATGAATGTATTTATGGTTTTTCGTTTTTCTTTTTCCTCTATCGTGTTTGGTCACATTGTTTGTATATAAATTTTTCTTTTTTTCTTCCGTCTTCTCCATCAGTTTTACTATTGTTGTGTTGTGTTTGATTTTTTTTTCATTTGTCTAAGATGTATAAAAAAAAAAGAAACGAAAGGAAAGAGACAAGATGGGTAAGAAAAAAAAAAAGAAAACGACAATGGAAAAAGAAAAAAAATTTATTACGAATGTATTGTTTTATTTATTGATGCTTTAGAAAAAAGATGCAGAATTGCAGTTTAAATAAACAATATAAAATATAAAAATAGTTCAAATGAAAATAATGTGCATATTAATATTGTGTTAGATAGTGCCATTAAATAGTAATAAATGCATTTGATTAAATACCTTTACAGTAGACATAAAGTATTTTATTTATATACACTTATTTAATTCAAAAAGCCCTTGAAGAAAAATTACAATAAGAATAACAAACTGTTGTAATCAAGAAAAATAAAATAAATTGATTTTTGTTTTAAAAAAAATTTAGTTGACTTAAAACACAAAGAAAAAATAATAAATTATTAAATCAACATTTGAAAATATATTTCTAAGAGCGCTATAGACAGATTATTATTTGATAGAGTATTGTTTTCATTGATCGAACTTATTTATCACCTTAAGCATAAATTGTTAAATACAGTTAAGATTAAAATAAAATAGTATTTATATATTATAGAAGGACGTTCAGTTATAACATTTAAGTTGTATATGTTCAGCGATACTGTTTTAAAATATTTTTAATGGAATCGTAATAGTCGAGATATACTTGTGAAAAATTAGTAGATGCATAATTCTTTATATACTAGATAATAGTCACTTGTTCTCAATACTATTCGAATCGTTGAAATACGACGTCACCTAAAAAGCTGATAGAATATAATTATTTTACTATAACAGTACTATAAAAATTTACATTGAATCCACAATATATGTGATTTCATATTGAAATAAATCTCGTGTACTCATAACAAGACGAGTACTATTTCTCGAATATTTATTTGTTGATTTTAATTGAACAATGCAATAAGAATATATGCTCGTTAAATTTTGAATTAGATTTAAATACAAATGATTGATTAATGTACAAAAACACGACAAGGATACATATAAATTCAATCAATATTATATATGATGCGTGAAGGATTCGAGTCATTTATCATATCTACTGAAATAGTAATACCTATGGCGTGTTATTCAGATATTTCACGAAGGTAATAAGCAATTGTTTGAATATATAATTGAAACAATATTTTCCCACTATATGAATGACTAACAATCACTACTATTGACTATATGAAAAGGTATTTAAGACACATCAATTTTACTATGATCTAAAGATGATGCTTCGTCACATATAATATGAAACAGAAGTTGGTAAAGGTGCTGATGTATTAGGGATTACCTTCGAAATCTCGAAAATAAAAATATCGAAACTGGAAAAAGCTAGAAAATAATCATAAAGCGTAGAGAAGCATTCTGCTATGATATTTTCTTACGCTAACTTCGAAGGGTGGGCATGGGTGATTTTATCTTTCTCAATCACACCCACACCCACACCTTCACCCTCAAGATTTATTAGCAGTAGCTATACTTGTATTTCATTTCTATGATAGTTTACTACCTGCTGAATTAATTAAAATAATAAGTCAAACATCATTTATAACAATGTATTTAATCTATCGTTTTAGTCAATTAAATGATTTAATTTAACGAATAATGTAACAACAAAAATTGTAAATTTTTCAAATGCATTATTTTTTTGTTATTTTAATTTTTCTAATTTAATTCATGATTATACAAATTATATCGACGAATTTATATTATAAATATAGGCTCTAATAAAATCCAAAAAGAATAGCTACAGTTTAGAAAATATTTCAAAGTTAAATAGATATTCATTGTTACTTTTAAACTGAATTATACACTTTATTGTGTATAAAATATACATCTAATTACCACTTGTTTTAGAAATAGTCCAAACCTATTGAAAAACAAACATAATATATTATATTTTAATGGGGTTCAACTTAGTTAAATTAATAATTAATATTGACAGTTATTGAATGATATAATGTTTTATTTCCTCACTAATAATTAAAGTAAAAATATGCTAAGATTACTATATTTCCCCAGATTAAATTGTACTTATGTGCGTAAATATAAATCTTTTATTCTTCTCGATACACGATGCTAAAACAAAAAATATATTAATATGTATCAAAATTAAATATAGATTTCATTCGATAAATTTTATCACATTAGTCTTATTATAATATTTTATGGGATATGTATTTCTGTATTATTAACTTTTTTTCCAATGATGTCATACTGAAAATTGCTATTTTTTCTATTTTTATTTTGATAAAAAATGAATATATAAGTCGCTATTAAAAGGCAGTATTGTTCAGGTGCTTCTGTCATCAGGAGCATCTGATGAAGAACCATTATCATATGTTGATGAACCACGAACATGTGATGAACCATGAGAATATCCCAGGGCGATGATTCCGAACGCCATTTCAGGCAGGAAACGGCCGTGAACGAATATCGTTTTTCGCCGTTTCAGGTCGTTTACGGTGAATAACGATGAACCGTATCCATACTGTTTTTTAGCCGTTTCATGCCTGAAACGCGGCGATTTTTTGTCGTTTTATACATGACTACCCAGGTCCATCAAAACGTAGCCGTTTACGATCCGAAATCGGTCTGTAAATAGTGCAATAACGAAATCTTTAAAGCCGTATACGTTTAAAATACGAACCCTTTTCGGTCCGTATTTGGCCGTATGATCTGAAGAGACAGCAACTTTCTGTTACCATCTTCCACTCCTTCCCTACCTTACTCCTGTCTGTCGTCCTAGTGTAACTAAATACTTACCCTTTAATATATCGTTATAGATAATCTAAAAATAAAGAAAAAAAATTTAAATATAGTAGATAAATATACTTACCATTCGATTTATCGTTTAGCATATTAATAAACAATATAAACTGTTTATATAGCTCATAAAAACCATTTTCTGAAGTTAAAATACTTACCTTTATGATTTATTGCAAAATGATTTTAATTTTTCATCGATGGCCCTATGCTTAATGTTATTTAACTAATTCATTGTTTCGATTGTTACCAAATCATTTTTCATTTTATCATTGAGCTTCTATATAGAAAGTAAATAGCAGCTAATATATTATCTAATATAACGTATAGACCAATTGATGAAAGCTTTAGAAAGAAAACGGTACAAAACGACTCGTAAACGGCGAAAAACGGTAATCCCTTACGACTGCCGTTTCCGATGAGACGGAACTGATTAAAGGAAACGGCTACCATTTTTCATCGTTTTCAACCCGTTTTACGATTCACCACAAACGATGGCCTCACGGTGACCGGTTTTCGCCGTTTGAGACCGTTTACGACACCGTATTCTTTCACCTGGGCGATTGATTAGATGTATTAGTCTTACTCATATTGTTTAGTGCATGTTTCAATATCATCTATATCAAATGTTTTATGTTCGTGTGTGTCAACATTGGTTCCCTAAAATAAAAAATACTTTTTTATATTTAATTGGAAAATATTATACTTAGGGAGAATTGTTTTTGAGCACCAGGGGCGAAAAGAACACCAAAAAAACAAATAAATGAACACCAAATAAAAAAAATAGTTTAAAAATGATTATATATATCTTTAATCGATTGAGATTGTTACGTAAATGCGATTATTTAATCAATTGTACTGAGTTTAGATGATGTTCGTTAAGCTCCTCAGAACTATGAATCATGCGAGACAATGGAAAGCGCGAATGTTTGTCTATAATATATATTAATGGAACAAATGATAAGTCATAACAGTTATTGAAATTAATACGAGATATCAACCGGCAAATATAAACTTTTAACTACTGTTAAAACACTTGACGACGCTATTGAAATTATTATGCAACATGGATTATCCAAGTATCGTATATCGAATCTGACTCATTATACAAAATACTCATATAGATGTAGTGAATATCGTGAATATCCATTTTGTCATTATGAAATATAAGTTTATACTCATGATAATGATCCAACTACAATTAAATTAACTTATAAAAATACTCATTATCATGATCAACGTAATGTTACTAATCGTTTAACTTCTCCTGTACGTGGTTTAGTTAGAAAATATGTTAAATATCATCTTTGGTGCTCTTTTCTCCCCTTTTTCAGTACTCATTTCACTCCTCGTCCTTATACTTACATTTATTGTACAATGAATTAAATTTTTTTCTTGTATAAGTTGAACATGAATTGAAATTTTTCCACATATAGAGTAGTGTAGAAATCGTTAACTCGGTCCGGCTAGTAAACTTCTTCTCCAACTTTCAACTATTAAACTTATTAGTAGGCGCCTCCAACTATTAAATTTATTAATAGGAGCCTCCAACTATCCAAATATAATAGGTGAGTAGGCGTATTTTCTCAATATATGGCTATGTCGCACATCAGTCCATGTACCCAAACTCAGCTGCTTTTCCCTTCACACCCTTCCAGGCACCCACATTCAGCTGCTCCACTCTGCACCTTTCCGAGCACCCCCACTTAGCTGCGCCCTCCCCCACACCCACACACACTCATACCCCTCACCCACACCTACCCTAATAAATTTAATAGTTGAATAGTTGAATAGTAGAATGAATAGTTGAATAGTAGAATGAATAGTTGAATAGCTGGATTCGACTTACTACTATTACACGTATGATAACTTGTTAAACCTATCTATTATATATAACTATAAGTATAAATTACTGGAGAATCTTCCATTTGATTATTTCTATTAATAACTATATGTAGATCCATCAATGATATGCTATCGTACAAGTTTTTATGAGAATCTATTTACTATCAATAATTCTTATAGATGATAATTTAACATATTTCGTATTGCAACCACATAATGTTGTACGTAGCAAAGATTCTATTTGAATCTGTATTTTATCATGTTAAACGATGTAGAACATGTAAAATTTAGAGCAGATTCTATCCATTTCTATTAATATATCTATTTAGTATAAACATCTGGATAAATTTCATTACGTCATTCTCTAGTTGAATGAATCATATTTTGTTACAGAGCTTTTATTCTTAATATTATTTTGAGTTAGAAACTATTTATATAAGTTTAGTTCAATAAAATAGTTCGGGCATCTTATTGAGTGATGTTCATGTTTAAAACGTTTTACTTTCATAAAAGCAATACATTTTTACGTGCCTCCAACAGTTATTGATTCATTTTCATAAAGATTCTTTAGATTTGTTTAATAAGTTGAATTTAAAATAATTTAAATACTATCATTTCATCATATAAACTTACAGAAAACAACAACGAACTTAATGAGGACTAATTATTAGTTATTTAATAGATATTTTGATAAATATCGATGATTTAAGCTACGACTGTGATGAATGCAAGAGAGTAATCTTCTCTTTGTAGAATCATTATGATTATTTCCCCAATTTGAAAGAGCAATAATCTGATTAACATCTGAAACTATCGTATTGTTTCAAATCGATTATAAACATTAGCAGCAAAGTATTATATTATTAAAAATATTGTCGAGATTGTATTCTCTTACATATTGTTTATTTTCATTTTTAAAAAGAAACATAACTATTTTTTTATCTCTTTTGAGAATAAGACGTTACACGATTGTTTGATTTAGGAGTAAGATATTCATAATCGCGTCATCTGATTATTAATGATCACTATAATCAAATTATTGTTTTTCTACGACAGTTAATGATAGTATTATCATATTTTTACTTCCATATTTAAGTAAAAGATTCTATTTGCATATGATTATTATAAATATTTCGTTCTAGATAGAAATCACAAATATCTATGTTAAGATATATTTAATTATTTATTGAACTTATAAAATGTGAATATTTAAATAAGAGAATAATGATTTTAGATATGGTTAAAATAAATAAAAATAGTTCATTCACGATTCCATATCCATGTAGAAGAATATAGACACATGACGATTGAAAGTCCGAATATTTGATAGATGAAATGATTTTGTTGATAATTGTTAGTACCACTGTTAGTCGTCGTAGTAACAGTATTACTTATCGTGGTACGACTACTACTCATCGTAGTACCACCACTACTCATCGTAGTACGACTACTACGTGTCGTGGTACGACGACTACTTATCGTAGTACTACTATCATTTATCGATGATGAATAAGCAGGTAACGAAGAATTAAGAATACGTTTCATCCATTCTCTATATGGTGATAGTCGTGTGTATACTTGTGCTCGATCCCTAAGACTAGGTTCATATTCGTACATGTCAACTGTCGCAATTCCGACCTATACGAAGTAATTAATAATTACATTTCATAATATTATTTATTGCTTTACCTGTTCCCAATGATTATTTTTATACATCATTATTGGTGCACCCAAATCCTCTATATAAATAATGATTATATCGATTTTACTGTTAAATTTCCTTACTATAATCTAAATAATTGAGTTTTGCACCTTCATTATCATTTGATAATCCAGCACAGAACTGATAAGTATCATTAGTAATAGAATTTAAACATGATTCTTGTTTAGTATCAATCATTCCAACGGATATTTGGTCAATGGTGTTTGTTGTTTCAGCTGTATAACTAGACCTGACCCATCCAACTACTACTAATTCTGAATTTAATTGTGGATATTGATTGAATGGAAATTCATTTTCAATAGATATACATATTTTTTGTAAATATTCAGGAGATTTATCTCCTAATGGAAATGGTTGATTAACACGAAGAATAGCAATATCATGTAAATATGGTTGCGTTCTTGAATAATCTGGATGAATATAAACTCGATCAACTCTTCGAGTAACTTTAATTGTTGAAGAAACATCATAAATGCCAGTAGCAATAGTTATATTATAGTAATTAGTATCAATATAGTAATAAATGCATTGAGCAGAAGTTAAGATAAATGAATCAGATAAAATTGTTCCACTACACTCATGATATCCATCACGTATTTGAATTGATACCATCATCGGCCAACTATACTTAATGGTATTCTCACCACCAATAATACGACCAGACGTTAGAACTACATCACTTTGTCCACAACCACATGATGCTTTCTTATCACACTGATATACATGAGAAGATGCATTGATAACGGTAGAATTAAGTAAAGTGTCTATCCAATTAGAATAACTACTAAGTTTTGTAAATATACCAGAACCACCAGCTAATCTACAATGTGATGCAAGGCCAACTTGTATCCAACGGCTATCAATCCATTCAAAAACAGGACTCCCTGAATCATCTATATAAAAAAATAAAAATAATAGAGTGTAGATTATTCATAAAAAGAGACTTTATTTACTTCCATAGCATATGTCTAGAAAAGAAAAGAAAAGAAAAGAAACGAAAACAATTTAGAAAAAACACTTAATATAGAAAGATTACCATTATTGTTTTGATTGCGACCAGCACAGAACTGTATCTGATTTTCATATCCGGACAGAAAACATTTTGAATGGTTATTATTAAAAGCATAGATTTCAGCTTGTTGTAATAGTTTTGATTTAGAAGAACTAGATATATGGGTAATATCCCATCCACTAATAACTAATCGAGTGCCATCTAATGGATAATTATTCACATCCATCCATTGATTATAAGTCGATGATCTACATGTTCGTGAAACATAGTTATTATTATCAACATAGAGTGACTTTGTAAGACGTAATATAGCAATATCATTTATATATTGATCTGAATATGTACTATAATTAGGATGAATATAAATTTGATCCACTTGTCGAATTATTGCTTCGCTTTCAGTTTGATAGTACATCCCAGCTTCAATTGTTATATCTTGTGGCTTATAGTTTGTCAAACAATGAGCTGCTGTTAGAATATATAAATCTTCTAGAATTGTTCCTGTACATATATGTTGATTGGTAGTACCAGTACGTATTGACACAATCATCGTCCATGTGTAAGGTAATGCATTTTCACTTGGAGCATTTGTTGGCGAAGATAATATTACATTTCGATTACTACAACCACATTTACTTGTACTTGGATATGTACTGCACTGAAAAATAGCTGGATTATTTGATGTTATATTATTAGATATAGCTGTTTGATTATTGTTATTGTGAATATGTGATTCGATCCAATCATTAAAGTGTGATATTCGAGTATAAACAGCTGAGTAGCCTTTCATTGCGCAACCACCTACACCGTATGATACAATACCCAGTTGTTCCCATCGATCTCCTATCCATTGGAAAATAGGACCACCTGAGTCACCTATTCATAAAATACAAGAAAATCATAAAAGAAAATAATGTAACATAATACGCACCGTGGCAGGAATCTAAAAATATTTATGTATAATATGTTTGTCAAAATAATAATATATAAAAAACATCTTACTTTTCTCATCTTTATCTGTTCCTGCACAAAAGTGTATATATGGATTATAAATCATAGCATTACATTTTTTATCAAAATGATGCTTGAAATTAATAGTTACTTGTTGTAAAGTATCAGGACTGGACTGTTCGTAATTTATCGAACCCCATCCAGTGACGACTAAACGAGTACCATTTGTGGGATAATTCATCATTTCATCTAATGTATTTGAACGCGGTGGTAGACATGTGCGAGCAATAGAAGAATTTTTTTGTAAATCAAGTGGTTGAGCTAAACGAAGTATAGCAATATCATATAGGATAATGTGATGAAATTTGTCCCACAAAGGATGAATAATAATTTTATCAACTTGACGAATTATTCTATTTGTTTGAGATTGACTATGTATATTAGCAGCGATCATGAAATCCGAAGATGTTACACCACTGTAGTATGAATCAACACAATGCGCTGCAGTTAAAATATGCCATTCATCAAGAATTGTTCCACCACAGAAATGTCCTAGACCAGCTTTTGTCAATGATACCATCATTGGCCAACTATATGGAACTGCATCTTCTCCATTAATTATCCGTGCATTTATTCCAACCATCCTTTGTCCACAACCACATGGAACAGTATTTTTGTCACATTCATAGCTTACTGCATCACACAACGTAATAGTAATTAGTAATATTACTATATTAACAAATCGAAAACATATCATGATTTTCAATATATATATCTCAACAGAAAAATGGTAATAAGGTAATAGTGAATATTTGTTGCTTAATATAACAGTTGTTTTTGTGCTTTATATGTCTCGCCTTTGTAAGAATATATAAAATATTGACTGATATGCTTATCTTTTTAAAAACAGAAGTAGAATATCTGTGAACATTAACCCTTTCCGATCGGATGCTGCCAAAAGGCAATATTTCACACTAGAGGAGTATGGCGTTGTTTGAAATGGCGGACCGGGACGGGTTAATAATTCGAATTTATTTGCACAAATAAAATATAGAATATTAGTAAAAAATATATAGGGTTACACAAGATTATTTTTCTTCATCAAACATTTATTCTGAGACCAAAATATATGTACGAAATTCGTATTTCAACATCAATATTTACAAGAAAAGAAAACAAGATTATCTAATAATTAAGAAAGGAGAGCTCTCTCAATCGTTTAATACACCAGTCAAAATAATTGTAATTGTGAAACAAGTGCAAATAGACCTTTATAATCTTAATAAATATTTCATAATCACACCCTCGATTCTTTAAAGAATAATACTAACAGACAAAATTAACTTCAGTTGATCATTTCAATCATCAGTCAGTAACTTATATCCTGTACAAAAAAGTTAACTCACTGAACATATCTAAGATCAGAAATCAGAGATTTAACAAGAACTAACAATCATTGTTTATTAAAGTGACTCACACCATCGTCACACACATGTTATCATTTATACTTCTACACCTGCACGAAGTATAGGCGAAATGCTTTCTTACAACAGTAGTAACCGTTTTTTTAAATTTATGTACATCATCAAGAATCATTTTCTCGTTCGTCTACTTCCAAACACAAGAAGAAAAGATATAAAGAAATATCAAGCATTTGAATTCTTCATCTATACGAATACATATCATAGAAATAGATTTTTAAAAGAAGAAATCGTTTATTTATTTTTGCTCCTTCGATCTGTTTTACCTGATTATGTATAATCTGATATGGATTAAAACATTAGTCTGCAAAGCGAAACGTTTTCTTCATGAGCTGGTTCTATTGTCTACTGCTGCTGAACAACTGATAGTAACCACAAGAAATAATAATCAGGAATTGAATAAGGACGCAAAAGTGATGCCAATCCTGTTCATAGTTTCTAGATGCTGAAATCGATGCATAGAAAGAGTTTAGAGTTAGTTATTCAGCGAACTTGATTGAATAGCCTTACAGTATAATTATAACAAATATTTTGTTTCAAAATTATAAAAAGTGGAATAAAAAAAAATATCGTAGTTTTTTTTGATAGTATCCTACTTCTAACTTATTGAATATGTGTTGGAAAATAATCTAAATAGAAATATTGAAATGAATAATAGAACACAAAAACCGATATATTTATATGTTAGCCTATCATTATAAAATTAATTCATTTACAATTAAGTTTGAAATTCTTCCGATATATAACAGGCATTCTAAGATTGTATTATAAAAAATATCTATATCAGAAAGCGACAGTAGACTAGTGCCAACTACTATATACTTCTTTTATTAGATATGTTGTGTGCCATTAATGTCATTCTTTCTTTCCTTTTTTCTCTATGAATGTATGAGTCATTTCCATTGCATGTGTCTAAATTGGTATCCAACAATCAACCATCCAACATAACACATACACATTCCATTGTTTATTATTTGTTATCGAAGGACAAAATACAAATATTTTTTCTTTAATTATTTTTTAGAAAAAAATTATGAACGGAACTGGTTATTTACATCGTCCATCATCCGTTGGTATTCTTGCTTGTGAACTTTACATTCCAGCATTATATGTTGAACAATCAAAATTAGAAACACATGAAAATGTTTCCAAAGGAAAAAATACAATCGGTTTAGGACAACAACGTATGTCTATATGTTCTGATCATGAAGATATATGTTCATTATGTTTAACTGTTTTATCACGTTTACTTGATGAAACCGGGGTACATCCACAACAAATAGGTCGTTTAGATGTCGGAACAGAAACATTAATTGATAAAGCAAAATCAATAAAAACAGTTCTTATGCAATTATTTGTTGATCATGATAATACAGCTGTTGAAGGTGTAGATAATGTAAATGCTTGTTATGGAGGTACTGCAGCTATATTTAATGCTATTCATTGGATTGAATCAAGTTTTTGGGATGGACGATATGTAAGCAAAAAATAGAAATAAAATATTTTTTTTTATAAATAAATTCAATTTTATCAATAGGCTGTTGTAGTTATGGGTGATATAGCAATATATCCAAAAGGAAATGCTCGTCCAACAGGTGGTGCTGGTGCTTGTGCTCTCCTTATCGGTCCTAATGCTCCCGTTGTCTTTGAATCCGGTAAGACATAAAAAACAAAAAGAAAGTTTTTTCTATTTAAAACCTATCTATTTTCTTTTCAAAAAAAAATTCAGGTTGTCGTGCAACACATATGGCACATGTTTATGATTTTTATAAACCAAATTTCACTTCTCTTTATCCAGTTGTTGATGGTCAATTAAGTATTCAAAGTGTTATATCCGCACTTGATACATGTTATACACAATTTTGTACAAAATCTCAAATGAATCATGAATCTCATTCACATACACATACAACTACATTAACATCACGTGAAGTTAATCTATCAACATTTGCTGCTGTTCTATTTCATACACCATATTGTAAACTTGCACAAAAATCTTTAGCAAGATTATATTTAAATGATCTTATTCGTGCTTGTCCATATATACCGAATAATATCAGTGAAAAATATAAGTAAGAAGATTTTATTTAAAAAAGAAACGAAAAATTAATTCTTATTTTAAATTAGAAATTTTGATCTTCGTACTACAATTAATGATAAAGAACTTGAACGAGAAATGGTTGAACAAAGTAGAGAATTATATGAACAGAAAACTTTACCAGGTCTTTATTTCGCACAAAACATGGGCAATATGTATACACCGTCAGTTTATTATAGTCTTTTTGCATTTCTTATCAGGTTAAAATTCAAAAATTTTTAATTATCTATAATAAATATATAAATTTTGTTAGTCAACCAACTGAAGAACAATTATATGGTCGACGTATATTACTTTTTTCATATGGTTCTGGTTTAGCATCATCAATGTATAGTGTTGTTTGTCGTAAAGTTCATGAATGTCGTTTTACACTTGCACAATTACAAAGAAGTATTCTACGTGCTAAACTTCGTCTTGATCATGAGAGAATGGAAGTCACACCTGATATAATGGATAAAATTTTATTAGAACGTGAACAAACTCAGCATAAAGGTAAGATTTGATTTACAAAATGAATGTTCTTAGACATACGATGAGTAAAGTAGTCTTCACGTGAGTCTTAAATTGGTGTTTGCGTGATCTCTCAATACTTTGAAGAATAAACATAAATCCTAATCAGCTTTTTTCGAAAAAATGAATATCCACATTTATTTAATTGATGTCCTAATTCATATTTTTTAGTTCCTTTTACACCAAAACAACCAAATGAAATGTTAAAATCAGGTGATATGTATTTAAAATCAATTGATGATAGTTATCGACGTTATTATGACAAATTTGTTGCAAATGATAACAGTGAACGAGATAATGATAATGAAAAAAATGTGCAAGAACTTTATGTAAGAAAATAATTCTTTCTATTTCTTTCAATAAATTTTTCTTATTAAATTTTTATTCTAGACTAAATATTTTCAAAATTGTCAAACTAGTGATGATGCTTAATATGTTTTTTTTTTATAGTATCATCTTTTTTCTCTATCGGCAACCTTCTCTTCTTTTTCTTTACTTGATTTCTTTTTTTACATAAAATCTCTTCAAGATTCTTGCCGCATATATGTATGTGTGTGTTTTTTTTGTTTGTTTGCTACTTCTATTATTATTAGTTTTTTAATGAAAGACTTCTTTTCATTTCGGACAAAAAAACGATTTGTAGAAGATATATTTGAAAATTGATGCAATATGTTGTCGTTTAGTGATGATATTAACGTTCAAAATGAATGACTTTGTTTTTTTTTGAACAGAATTTATCAAAAGACAATGCAGTTGTAAACAAATAAAAATGACATTATGACAAAAATTTTGCAATTACATCTATTACAAATTATAATTATGAGTCTTCGCCTATAAGATTATTCATTTTTGTTATACGAGATTACAAACCAACAAACTATTTTTACTCAGCAAAAAATTTCAATTTTTCTTTTTAAAATAAAAAAGGAAAAGCTTTATGTTTCTTTAATATCCTTAAAACATGTCCGTTACATCTTAAGGCAGTATATTTTATTAAAACTTACAGGTAATACGACCGTCAAAATATGCTGATGTTTTGTAAATTACCGCGATTTTCTATTTAAGTTTTCATTGCACTTGTTTTCTTTAGAAGTAATGTTGACCAAAAAGTTAAAGGAAATAGTTTATGTAGCGTGACAAAAGCAACATCATAATTAAAACTTAATAAGAATAATGTGTATGTCTGAAGTATTGGAAAATATTTACTAGTCGAAATTCTCAGTGAAGCATTAAAATTGTTACAGATAATTAATCTCGAATACATCATTAGTATGTACCAAGATTGTACATACAATAAATTGTTATTATAAAAGTACTAGTCGAAAATATGACAATACTGAATCCTATTACAAAAAGGAACTTTGCTTGTTAAGATAATAATATGTTTGTTAATATTCGATGCATGTTTTTTTCATTACAATATTGACAGAGAAAATGCCGGATATTATAATAGTTAATCAGGATTTGTTTTGACATTGTCACGATACCGCTATCATTCATTTTAGTGATTGTAAAATAATAAGAAATTCATTCTATTCGTTTAGAAGTGGACATCTTAAATTATAATCTAAAGTGTCATCATTCATTGATGTTAAACAAGCGTTAAGATAGATCTTGATTAAAACAAACTGAAAGTACTTATTGTTGAATTAGTTTTCATAATACTGTGCGTGTCAAGAATAAGTAGCACTATTAAATAAAAAATTTAAATAGAGTATGTTATTATCATTAGATAACTGATTAAACATCTAATAAGCATGTGAAAAATCATTTCACTAATGAGTTGTTCAATGAATAACGAAATAGATATTAGTTCTATTAAGATTGCTCGTTAATTACAATTGAGAAACAATAATATTATTTACATAATGAATACATAGACCATTTGCATGGCCTTCAAATAACTATTGACATCTTTCGTATATCATACGTCAGATTTTATTATAAACATAAATTAGAAACATGTCTATTCAGCCCATTTATTGCTCATTAGACTAATACATATTAGTAAGTATATAAACAACGCAGTAATTATATCGAATCTGTAAACTGTTTTGTACCATAGAAGATAATTTTAAAAAACGATAGTTCTACAAGAAAGACTAAAACCAGCGATCAGACATATGGATAATGTCATACAAGTGAGCCAATAAGTGTCATAAAGATTATATAAAAATAATAATTTGATATAATCTACTTTTCACCTTATTTTAGTCTATCAATTTCTTTTTTAAGCTTTAATAAATCTGATCCTGTTAAACGAAATATTTCTTTTCCTTGTTTAAATAAAATAAATGTTGGTAAAGCACGAACTGAATATTGATTCGATAATTCACTATTTTGATCAACATCAATTTTTATAAAAATAACACTTGTTTTATAATCATTCAATCCCCATTTCTCTATAGTTGGTGCACATTGTAAACATGGCGGACACCAAATAGCATAAAAATCACATAGAATCAATATATTTTGATTTTGTATGTGCGTAATTAAATTATTAAATTCTTCTTGTGTAGTTATTTCATGTATTTTGTTCACGTATTGATTTAATGGTAAAGAAAAATCTTGATTAGATTGATTTATATCCGATGAAACAGCAACTGATTCTTTATTTGAAAAACATGAACCCATCATTAAACTAAACAACAATAGTTTTTAGTCATTTTTACGCGCTCAAACAAAATTGATGATAAACAGAATAAATTGATATTCTTCTTCTAGTCTTTATTAGATCAAGATATGGTTCTCTAACAAAAAGTCATACTTAAAATTCATATTATACGTCCATTATTTTAAAATAACAGTCTCTATAGGATCATTTGATTTGTTTTAAGATCTTTAAAACAATTTAGTCTAAATTGAATAGAACAAAACTAAAGCCATTGCATTTTTTACAAATTTGCAGAAGCTAGCAAACTCTCGTTATACTGTGCGATCAAAGGTTCTTGATTTAATAAAAAAATCCATCACTATCAGAACTATTGACAAATGGAAACAACAAAACAATTTAGTTTTTTTGTTATTGGCAAAAGAGCAACGTAAAATAATAAAGATTGACAGAAATCGATTACCTCAAACTAATCTATCTTATTTTCTTTTAAGCCTTTTATTAATCTAACAATTAGACTGTTAAAGTCTTGTAAACCGATCAACTCACAAATGATTCTTACTATCTGTCAAAACCTAACAACAACAAACTGTCTATGTATATAGTCTTTAGAGCCATTGATTTCGCTATAGAAATAAGAATTGAGTAATGAATAATGGCTATTAAGTGGATTTGGGCATTTGGAATATCGCTTGCTTACATCTGGACCCTCGAGATGATAATTTTTCCTGTGGTAAAATTGGATAATGTCTGTCGTTGTAATACATATATGTAATGAAACAAGACATTGCAATTTAGCTAAAGATATTCTATTTTATACTCTCCAATTTGATTCAATACATTTATTAGATTATTTCTTGACATAATGAAAAATCAATATTCGTATACAACCACAACTGCATTGATAGTTCTAACATACAATCAAAATTTTTATTATTATGTAATCGTGATTTAAATATACAAGATACATATGTTAATGCATTTATTCTAGTTGATTAAAATGTTGACCTAACAGAGCAAAAGCAAGAACACTATATAAATAGAAACTATGGTAAAAATAAAAAATGAACTTGATTCATACTATATCGTATATTTTATTAATAAGAGAGATTTAAAAAGATTATAATTATAAACATATTAATATTTATATTAGTTATGAGTGAAATAGAAGATAAAATTATTAAGAAAATAGCGAACGAATTATTAAATAAATATTTTCCTATTTCGTTCAATAAGAAGTTTTCTAAGTAGATAAAAGAAAGTACGAAAATATTTCTATTATTTTATTACGCATATTTCTTTTTTTCCTATATTATATTAATTTCTTTTCTAGTGAAGAAAAAACTATATTAAATAATGCGGAAACAACGTTAGATCACTTAAAAAGAAAATAGTTTTATTTTTAGAAGACAAACACTATCGACAATGATAGAGGAAATGAAATAACTTGTTATGAATAATTCAAAAAAAACAGAAAAAAAATTTAATATTAAATTATCATTCTTGTTTTCCAAAAAATATATTATATTCAGAGAGTAAATACTTTCAAAGACATTAGCAAACTAAAAAAAACAAACATCGTGCATATTAATGACACGAGATTGTCTATATTTGCATTTTAGTTTCATGTAAATAATATTATTTTCCTATTAAAATATTCTGAATTTAATTAGATTTGAAGTATTTGTAATCTAGTCTTTTCTTTTCTTTTCTTTTTAAATATAAACATATGAATAGAAAGAAATGTCAATGATTATTATCACCAATTGGTCTATCTGTGTTTATATTAACAGCTGATCTTTTTAAAGGTTAATGATCAATAAGATAAAAGGTTAAATGAGTACAAGTGTAGTAGATTTTCAACAGTTGTTTATGTATCTTTTAATCATTGAATATGTTCAGTTATAACCAAGAATGTTTCTTATATACAAAAGAAAAAACGAACAACAACGAAATAAACAAAAAAAAAGAAGAAAACAAAGAAAAAAACACACAAACACACAACGGACTACTGCTTTCTTTCACTGCTACTACTGTCACCTCGTACAAGACTTTTTAAATAACCAAACGGACCTCCTCCACTACCTCCTCCTCCGGCACCTGTTTGTTCAGTTGATGGTGTATCTGTTTGATTATGATTTGTTTCCGATGTTCGTTTAAGTAATGCTATTGGATTTGTATTACGTAATGTAAATGATGATTTCTTTTTTACACGTGTTGATGATGTAGTTGAAGGAGAATTTATTTGATTTTGTTGTTGTTGTTGATTATGATTAATTACAGATGTTGTTGTTGTAGCTGATGCTGAATTAGTTCGATTTCGTTTTGTTGTATTTGAATTAAGAGATGATTTACGTGGTGTTGGTGATGTATCAATTTTTCCATATGTTGTCATTGAATGATTCATTGATGATGATATATGTGGATCTTCTTTTGATGATTTTTTATGTGATACCCATGAACGAAATGAACTAACAGGATTTTTAAGTGAAAAACCACCACTTGTTGTTGCTGTTGTTGAGCTAGTTGAATTATGGGTGGAATGTTTTTGATTAGAGCATTCTTCAGCTTTAGTTTTATCAAATTTAATTTCAATATGTTCAAGATCAGTATGTTGATCACCGGTTGATGATGAAATAGGTTTCGTTTGAGATAAATCTATTGATTTTGATTTTGAAGGAGAAGATTCAGGCGATGTTGTCGTTAAAATACTAAACATATGAATTAAAGAAAACCATATTTTTTTTTAAATTCTAATTATTTTTATCTTAGAAAAAAACAACATCTTTTTTTCGAATAAGTATTATAAATATAGGAAAAAAAGATGTTTGAATCTTGCAATAATAATAAAATAAATTTTGCGTTTTTCTCCTTCTGTTATCGTGCAATTAAACATCTGTTAACAAGAGAAAAGAAAGACAAATATACACAATAGTCGGAGTCGTTTTTTTCTCTCTCTTCTTCTGTAATTTAAGAGTAAAAGTAATGATTTTACGAAACATATTATTTTATTAAATAAAAAATGATTTATTCTTGAATGAATTTCGAAAACAAAACGAAGGAGAAGGAGAAGAAGAAGAAGAAAAACACTCATTACTTATCGATTCCATTGAGAATTTTCTCATCTTCTTTTTGTATAACAAGAATAGGTGTATGGGGTGTTGAGTCTTTTTCATTTGTTATTAATTCTATTTGTTCATTATCACTATCAACATTATGTTGATTTGAATTATCATTCATTGTTTGATTTTTATTTGTAAAACGTTGTTTACGTTCAGCATCGGACCATGGTGGCATACGTTCATTGATTTGATCAAATGTTTTAGCTGTTGAAAATGAAAAATCTGTTGGTACTTTACGATTTTCTGGTATATCTCCTCCTTCATCATCAACAAGTTCATTAAGATTTGCTGTTGATGATGATGGTGTCATAGGTGCAAGACCTTTTAAATTCAAAACATTTTCACTTGCTTCACGTAATGATGCATAAACTTTAGCCATCTTTCCAACGGCACGTATTTTTGAACGTATAGCATCACGACGAAATTGATTATCATTATCATTTTGTTGATCATTTGATAATTCAATAATAAGTTCTTCTTCACTACAGATATTTAATATATTTATTAACATTTCAGTAACTTTTTCACCAACAAATGGTAATGACCATGTAAATACATTCATAAAATTTGGTAACCAATATGGATGTGGTGAAGAATTAAATTGTCTTATATTAACAATATTTGTATCATATTTAAGTATAGCTGCTTTATTTTGATAAACATCAAGATAATTTGGTGCAGAAAATATTGTCATTAAAGATGGAAAACCACTTTGTGGACATTTACGATACATACGATAACCAACATCTTGTGCTTCATGTGCACGTATAACAGTCAATAAAGAATTACGAGCAAGAAAATCATTCACAGCTTTAAATGTATAAAAATATGAACAACCACGTGTTGCATTAAATAAAAATTTTTCATCATGAGATTTTTCATGACCATAATCTTCAACAGGATCACTCCATAATAAATCACACATAGGACCATATGGTGGAGGTTCTTTAAAACGATCTAATTTTTTTATATCATCTAATGTATGAATTTCCGGTGAAAGTCCACCTATAAATACACATTTATTTTTGTAACAGACAAATTTTTATTATTAAATTATTCTTACCATGTACACAAAAGAATTGTTTATCTATAAGAGCAGCTAATGGTAAACAATCAAATGCACGCATACATGCATCATAAACTCGTTCAGTATATTTTATTTTACCTTAAATAAGGAAAAAGGAAATAAAAATGGAATTTTTCTTCGTAGATAAAAATAAAAACCTCTTACATTCAGTTTTAAATGTAAAATATTCAGTTAAATGTCGACATTCATGATTACCACGAAGAAGAAAAAATGTTGATGAATAATGAATTTTAAGTGCCCATAAGTAAAGAACACATTCAATTGAAAAATATCCTCGATCAACATAATCACCCATGAATAAATATCGTGTAGTAGCTGGTGAACCTTATATTTAAAGAAAAAAAAGGGAAAATTCCATTAACTAAATTATTTTTGACAGAAGATTTTCATTTGATAAAGACAGGTCTTTTTTCTAATTAAATTGACATAACGTTAAAAATAGATTACTTACCACCAACTTCAATTAATTTCATAAGATCATAAAATTGTCCATGTATATCTCCACATACTAAAAATATGATATAATTGTTTACAAAAAACATTTTTTTTTATTTCTAAAGATTTTTACCAGTTATTGGAGCTTCTAATTCAACTAATGTACTTTCTAAACGTAATAAACTTTCACCACGTTCAATAATCATCAATGCTGCATCTTCTTCAAGACGTCCTTCGCCAAACAGATGTTCACGAAGACGTTCAAGTCGTGGTTTACCACCACCAGTCGAAGTATCAAATAGATCAGCAATCGTTAGACGATATGTTGGCGGTGCTGGAAGACATCGAACATGAGTATTAGTTGTCGATGTGGATTCTGGTGATTCTCTTTTAGTCGATGATGATGATGATGTTGATGTTGATGCCATTACTTGTGGCTCATATATGGTATTACTAAAATTAACATAGTAAAAATACAGAGGAAGGAAGATCTAGGAATTTTTTGACAACTGGTTGTAGTCATTGACTAGATTAAAAAAAAGGAAAAGGAGAAGACTGTCATATATCAACGTTGAATGAGGTGATAGATGAAAATTGGGATATAATACATAACTATGTTTTTTTTTCTTTTTTTTTTCTTTTCCACTTCGTTTGATCTTTCTAATGAGACAGATATGTAGTCGAAGGTTGACATGTATCGATGGTACTATCGTAAGCAAATGATTTTTTCAGATGTCATCAAAGAGAAAAAAGAAATAGGATAAGTCGATGAAAAAAAAAAGAATGATTGAATTTATGTCATTTTATATAAATATAAATATTCTATAAGTTTCTCTATTCGATCTTTTGACTTTTTAATACCTAGGAATAACATTATTTGCCGATATGCTTATAGCCATTCATTGAAAATAACAAGTTGATTTCTATGCATCAATATTAATACATATATCGAACTCGACGCAATAGTAGAAAAAAAAAAGAAAAATATTCTAAGATAGTTGCTATATATATATATATATATATATATAGAAAATAGACACAATAGATCGAGATGCGTCTCTGACAACGACGCACAGATGTACAGAGATAGAGGGAGAGAGGGAGAGAGAGAAAGTAAAAAAAAGGCGAGAAGGAAAAGCGTAGGTACAAATTGCGTATGGACAACGAGAAGGCACGCGCCCAACATACACGGAGAAGGAGATTCTTTCTAACGTTCTCTATATCAGATCAGAATCGGTTATGATGGAAGATGCTACCAAAGCAGTCGCTGAGTGAAATAGCCTTTCTTTTCCATATGGTCGCTCTCGTTCTTCTCTTTTCTTACATATATATCGAAGTGGATTGCCTAAATAGCCCACACATGCGATGGATGAGACCATCACTACTACTACTACCATTCTGTTACTCGTATTCGACGAGCTTTTTCTTGTTCGCTCGCTTGCGGGAAATCTACTGCATTTTCTTCTACTTCTTCTCCTCTTTTCTCTTTTCTCTTCTTCTTCTTCTTTGCTTTTCTCCTACGTAGTAGTTGTTCCGGCTTTGCCGTCTGTCTTCTACATTAACAATTAGTGTTAGGCAAGAGGGAGACAGAGAGAGAGAGAGAGACAGGGAGAGGGAGAAGTTCTCTAGGTTTTTCTTCTTTCTTTTCCATTCCTTTCTACTCTATATACACATCTACGCGTTGTGTTGCGCATAATTGAGCGGGACAGAATAGTAGCAAGCATGCAAATGTTCGTTCTGCTTGACATGGAAAAACTCTACTGAGCCTATTTTCTCTTGCTAATATATTCCTCAAAGTGTTTTCAAGTTCAAACTTCAACTAAATACAACAGCAGAAGCTGATAGTGCGAAACAAATGTCTATGCTCGATTGTCTTTAAGTATGTTGATCGACTATCGCACTTGCGTCATCAAATCGATCTAATGCGTTCAGACGTCTTAAACGGAAATAATGGATCAATGAAGATATGAAAGCAAAAAAGAAAAAAGGGAACAATAAGATGACTCAAAGAAATATTGTGATATTGAAAAAATATAATATATAACGAAAGGAACTCTTATATTCTCCTCTTCTAAAGTCTACCCTTCAGGCAACAACTAAAAAAGAACTATTCGAAAAATGCATCGAAAAGACAAGAGAAATCGAATGAGGGTGATAATGATGATGACGACGTATGTTTTTGTTCGTAACAAACACATAAGCTAAAGCAATTAGGCCTCATGTCAACACACGCACATATTCGCGCTTGCCTGCGTCCATACCCGAGTGCGAAGAAAAAGATGTGAGCTTAAAATAAACAGACACAACTTTTCTTTTTTGCCTTTTTTTGTCTTTTTTTATATTATTTATTCTAATATACAATACTATTAAGACGCTTACAACAGATATCTCTATCAATTGTAACTAAGAATGATTTGACTAAATAATTTTCTTGCTCTATCAAGCACAACTTGTCTTTGTCTGACTACTACTATGTTTTTGACATGAGTAAAAGATTTGATAAGAAAAAAGAATTTACTTTTTTTTCTTGTTTTATTGTATGTCGACAATAATTATTTACCTAAACCTGAAGAATAATAAAAAAAGAAACACTAATGAACTTATCCGATAAAAAAAATTGCTTATAAATTGAGAATATGTCAATGACAGATTAGAAGAAATTCATATCTGACGTTGATGATGACAAATATTTCTTTAAAAAAAAAAAAAGGAGAAAAAAAAACTTTTTGATGACGAAATACGATCATGCAAAGGTATAATAATAATAACAACAAAAATCTTCTTTGTCTCCCTGTATTGATTGTAATAAAACTTACTCTTACGGAAATAAGATCCGACATTATTATTTTTATAAAGAAAAGAAAAAAAAAGATTTCTCATATATTACACGTCGTTTTTCTTAACACATAAAAATAACAACGATCGATGTATGCATATAAGAAATGAAAAAAAGAAGAGCTTCTCAAATACTGTCATTATTGTCATCTATATAACAGTAAAGGAGTAAGAAAAAGAATGCTTGAGTCGTGAATAAATAGGTGAAGAACAAAAAAGAAACCACGCAAGACTCTTTTTTTTGCTTTATTAACTTTCTCTCATGTCATTCTAAGTAACAGTTAATAGAATGTTCAGTAATAATTATTCTGCATTATTTAGTTTTTCAATTGAAATTTGATTGATGTACTTTTACAGAATATTTAAACATCCGATCAATGTAATTTCATATTAAAATAAAGAAGAAAAAAACAATTTATTTAAAGTATTCAATTGAAATGATATAATTATATATTGTCATGTCGATTTAAATAGAAAAAATATTGTTTGCACTTTTGAATAAAAACGATTATATGGTTAATACATCATGACTGACAGCTGGTGTTTTAATCAATAATATTATATACTCAATGATATAAAAATGAAAATCTATAAGTGTCATATGAAGGACTTGATTAAAATATACTATGGTGTGAAAAATATCATTAGAATCCAGTCATTTCTTTGTGTTACGGAAATAATATAATTCTTTCTTATTTTCAGTTTTTTTACAGATATTTTCTGTCGAACTCCTGACTTTATAATTCTAAGCTTCTGATTCAATTATTTTAATGTCTTGATTATATCATTAATGTTTGACTAATCATGCATAAAAATGAATAGTCTAATCTTTCAACATTATTTTATAAGGAAATAGTTATAAATAGTAATTTAGTCTATAAGAATAAAAGTCACTCATTTTTTTGTTATCATAGTAAATACTATAATCCATTATAATATATAATCAAAAAAAAAATTAGAACCTATATATTTGTTCTGTCATATCAAATTTAATATTTTTTCTTTTTTTTATTTATCAAATATTTATAAAAAAAAATCTCAAATCTCGCAATATATTATTCGTTTAAACTTGATACTTTCTTCACCACTGTTGGTCGATATTCCCAAATGTATAGAATTCTAAAAGTAGAGACAAATAAGTCATTTTTATAAAAAATTTCTATACATACAACATTAAAAGAATTGCTATCGAACCAACACCTGCAAAAACAAAATATACAAGACCTTGACAAAATGTTAATGACACCCGATAAATTTCATTTGCTAATGCACTAATTGCATAGTAACCACCTGATTCTAATACACTAGCAAGTATAAATACGACAGCATATTCATCAGGTTCAACTGATTTCGTTATACGTGATCGTATTATTGGCGTTAAAACACTAAATAAACCGCCAATAGAAGCAGCTAAGTAAAGCATCCAAACTTGACGAGCAAAACCAAATAAAACTAATTGTGTCATATAGGCAAGACAGCCAAGTGCAGGTATCAGTAAATGATCAGAACGTTTACCAATAGTTAATGTAAATATAACAGTAAAAAAAATGGACGTAACTGTTTGTGCAACACTATTTAAACTCACACCAAATGAATCTAAACAAAATGGTGCACCATACAAGTAAATGTAATACATAGCCACATTTCCCAGTGCCATAAAAATTAAAGTTAAATGTGTACTAACTAACATTAATAATGATCTCTGTTTATGTTCTGGACGTTTGACAAAAAATACTCGAAAAACTTTCGTAACAACGCCAAATCTAACCTTTTTTAATTGTTGAAAAATATTTAAATGTTGTACATTTAAATTTGATTCTGGTTGAAATACGATAGAAAAAATAAAACCACATAGACTTAAAAAAAGTGTAAATATCATTGTTTGAATAAATTTTGGCTGTTGTAAATATACTCCTATTGTAAGTAATGGTATAAAACGACAACAAACAATACACACATCAGCAATTATAATAGCGATTGTACGTGTTTTTTCATCTGTACAATCAGTTACATATGCAAATGAGCTTAAAATATTTAGACCTGCAGTACCAAACAAACCATCAACCATAATTGATATGATAATCCATATATTCGATAGATCATAATAAGCAACGGCTGTTAAAATCATATAGCGTATAGTTTTACCAATAAATGGTAAAGCAAGTAAAGGTTTTCGTCCAATTCGATCACAATTTGCACCAAGTAAAATTGATGTAAGAATTGAAGGTATTGTAGCAGCAAGATTTATATAAACATTTAAACGAGCAGTTGACATTTGAATAATTTCACTCCATGACATTGTTGTTGATACCGGATATTTTGATGTTGTTGTTGATATTAATCCACTTGCATTAGGTGATATTCGAGTTGAATTTAAACATAATTCGCGAGTATTTGGTGTTGATGAAGAATTTAAATTATAAAGTTGTGTATACCGATACTCGATAAAATCATTTAAAGTTAAACCATCAATAGTGGAAATTATTATTATAAGGATTAGTGATGGTAATACACGCCACCAACGAGGTAAAGTTGGTGGTAATAAAGGTGTTCTTACATCATCTTGCTCGTCCATCTTTTTATTTACTGCACTATGAGTTCTAACATCAAAATATTTTCGTCTTCATATATAGATAAATATGCTGTTTCATCTTATTTTTGTAATGACGTCGATAATATAAAAAAAATAGAACATGTTCTTATACGAGATAAAAAAAATAATCTTTTCTCACAGTTAGAAGTGCAAATTAACAAAAGATTTAACTATAATAAATCAAATAATTATTAATTATAAGTTAGGAACGAAATTTATTATTTTAAAAAAATTGTGTTTATATTTTATTGCACTTTTATAACAAAAAAAAACGAAGGCTATCGACGCAATTCAAGCAATTCCTTGAGATAAAAAGAAGTTTTATAATCTTTTTCTCCTCCTTAGATTTCTTATATGATGATAAGAAAATTGTACTTGTCTTTCTTATATGTGTGTCATGGTAAAAGCGTCTTATGCTTTCATATAGGTCGTAGACAGACAACATTTGTACAAAATCTGATATAGAATATAACTATTTTTATTTATATAGCATTATGCGTACATTTTAACTTTAATCAAAAAAAATTTCAGATTTTATTATTGTTTTTTTTATTGATGCCATTGAATGGTTTCTTGTAAAACAAATCCTTCGAAAATAATTCGTTTGAATATGAATACTGCAAATGTCAACATTATCTTTCAACTGCTATAATATAAAAGTCGACAGCATAATAAGACACATTAACTATAAAGAATTTTTTTCTTGGTAGTTATGTATTTACGACTTTTGTAGGAAGAACATTAACTGTATTTAATAAATGCCATTAAATGGATTCAGTAAACATTTCTCAGTAATAAAATAAACTTTGTCCCTTCAAAACTTGAATATATGTTTTCATAAAACATTAAACCAACAACAAAAAAAAACGAAAATGTATATAATAAAAAATTTCATTTCATATTTCGACTACCAAGTTCTTGACCAATATTAACTGATTTCGATGGATTTGATGGAATGGTTGTAACAACAGACTTTTTTGATGCTGAGTTTCTATTACCAGTACCTTCTAATTTATTAATAAATGTTGAAATATAAGGTAAAGAAAGTATTAAACCAAAACCAGGAATTGATCGAGTTACTGATATAACAACAGGTAAAAATCCACCAAATAATTTATAAAATCCAATGATTTCAAATATAACACCAACAATTGGCCAACGAAGAAGAAGTAAAGCAATACCAGCAAAAAAACAAGCTGAACCAGTTAAACGATCAGGTTGTACAAAAAATGTTCGTGCTCGACCAAGTCCCTAAACAAATAAAAATAACTATAATATTTATTATAAACAATTATTTTCACATACTAATAAAAGAATAACACCGACAATAAGAAATATATTACCGAGTGCTAATAAAGCTCGATCAAAGAAAAGAGCAAATCCAAGAAGAATAAAAAAAAATGCAAAACCAATTAATCCAATGCCCATACGTTGACTATCACTTAAGTCCCAGAAGGCCATGATACAAGATGAAGACAAAGAAAAAATCTAAACAGAGACAGAACACATTGAGCATAAAGGTTATGTTTATTTTAGACACGTTGTCTATGTTAGAAGTAATCGAGTCACGTTCAACTAATGCAATATGAGTGAGCTTAAATCAAATAGACACAAACGCGCAATCTAAAGAATGATCATACAAACATTCATATACAACAAAAAAAGATCGGTAGGTTTTGTTTTTTGTTTAGCAAAAAAAAAAATTATTTTTATTAATTTAGTTATTGTATTGTTTTTGTCTTGTTGTATGTACAATTGTAATACATAACTTATTACATATTTTCTCAGCCATGTCGACACTCGATTATTATGACTGCGTCGTTTTTATTTGTCACTTGTGTTTTTTTCTTTTTTCGTCAGGCCTTATTCTCCTACATATTTTTTTCGCGTGTATGCATCTAATATTAAAAAGCAAAAGCAAAAAAAGAGAGAGAGGGGAGTAATTATAGAGTATTCAGACGTCGGTAATATAAATGAAAATAGTCTCGCCGATCGGAAAGATGTTAACGGTAGAATAACTGATGAATTTTTTTTCTTATTTATTAGTCGAGAGCTTTTTTTCATGAATATATATAAAGATAAACTAGACAATAGAATCGTTTTTGAGTCATCTTAGTTTTTTTTGTCTCTGAGTAGTCGCGAACGTGGCAGGAAACAAAAAAAAACCCCGCATACAACAGAAAAAAACCATCATCACTTGACGACAACTTACATATTTGACTGCCTGCCGCAGCTGTAGCTATTTTTTTCACTAAATAAAAAGGTAAGTAGTTCGTATTAGTAAAATAACAAGTACAAATATAGACGAATTATTGTAAAGAAAACGCGACTACATATCCTACGTGAATAGAAAAACAATTGTCAGATGTAACGAAGGCTGTTTAAATACCTTAATCGAGGTCGTTACAAATAGAGTTACTGAGCGTCACAGATGCATTTTTTTCTTATTATTGTCTATATGATATCAAGTTTTCTCAAGGACATATCCTTTCTTTATAAAAAGAATAATATTTATCTGATTTCAAATACTTATATTCACATAAAAAAGAATATATATATATATTGATTTATAAATACAATTCGTTTGTCTAATTACATATGACAAATGAAAGAAAATTCCCCATATTTATTTATTTATTTCTCGAGCGTCCCCTCTTGTTTTATTTCTATTGGATGAAGAAAACTTATCATTCATGAGTCATAGACAGAAAAAAACAAAAATAAGGAAGTTCTATTTTACATTGCATATCATATATTTCCTTCGTTTTATTTTCTAGGTGATAAAATGATGATGGATCCTATTGCCGATCCATTTCTTAATTTATATGGTGACGGACCAATTCCATCTTTACTACCAGACAATTTATTGTTTTCTAATGACGATAATCTTGGTGGTATTGATCTTGATTTACCACTTCCAAGCCCAAATAAATTTGAACAAGAAACAATATCAAATATGACCGAAAATCCAGGTAGAGATTTTTTTATTACGAAAAAAACGAATCCTATTTTTTCTTCTGTTTGTCATAGAATTTGAAAGTGAATTAAAAAAATTTTTTGATAATTTTCCATCACCAGACTCCTCATCATCATCCAATCATCATTCAACAATCGATATATTAGATAATTTTCCATTTTCACCATTTGAAAATGTTCCTATAATAGAAAAACTTGAACCAACATTACCACCACCACCTCCACCACCACAAAAATTACCGGTTATTATAAATACAACTAAAATAGCTAATCAACATTTACCGAAAGTCGTACAACTAACAAAAGGAAATGTTGTCTATATTCAAGCACCAAATAATTCAAATAAATCTCAAACAAATTTTATTCAATTAACGAATTGTTTACCAACAATACTGATCAATACATTACAAACACCAACAGTAAATGAAGATACAACAAAATTAGTAGTAGCAGCACCAACGACAACATCAACAATCGAGGATTTTCCTATGGATGATAATGAATGTAAAGAATAGACTTGTATTTGATTTCTTTTCTGTATACAAAATCGATTTTTTTTTAGATAATGATATCGATCATTTACCAATGACACCATCAACTGGTAGTGAATCACCTGATGAACGAACGACAACTTCACCGGATATCACTCATGATAATCATTATATTAAAAATCGTTTGCATCGTCATCATCCTTATGGTTTAAATAAATCTTCATCATCTATGTTAACCAATATTGATGTAATTTCTTTTGTTTTATTTGATTTATGAATTTCTATGTATTCATTTATTTTAAGAAATTACCATCATCTGGTCCGTTATTATTAACAGATGAAGAACTAAAACTAATAAAACAAGAAGGGTATCAAATTCCAACAAAACTCCCATTAAATAAAACTGAAGAAAAAGTTCTTAAAAAAATCCGACGAAAAATTAAAAATAAAGTAATAAAAAACATGACATTTCATTTGTTAATATTTTTCTATTTAATTTTTATTAAGATTTCGGCACAAGAAAGTCGTCGAAAGAAAAAAGAATATGTCGATACACTTGAACGACAAATTGCCAAATACATCGATGAAAATGGAGCACTTAAAGATCGTGTGTCAACAATGGAAAAAAATCAAAGGTGAATATGTATAAAGAATTTCTTTTACTAGTGAAATAGTATTATTAGATTATGATTAATAGAGAATGTAAAGAGTGTTTTTTTATGAATATGTAGAACGAATAACATCAGTTAAAAGCTCTCAAGAGGCCGCCCAAGGAAGTTATGTTTAAGAACCTCTCATTGATTAATCAGCATGACATTTTGCAATGAAAACACCTATACGTAATTAAATTTTTCACAGAAGGCTATCATTAGTCATTGATAACTATCTTGTGACTAAATATATGACCTTGATTTCTTTGTAATGTAGAGTATTTTATAAAGCTAAATAAATCTCGTTTAATTTTATATTACTTCATTCTCAAGGCTTCAATTAAACCTAATAGGAAATTATTAATACTATCGTTACCCACAATAAATATTTGCATGTAAAATGCTTATCAATAGTATTTTATCAAAATATGCTGACATAGTTTTTAAGAAAATCAAAAATATACTATTTATGTAATCAAAATGATTAACGTTTTAAAATGTTTTTCTAGATCGTTGATGCAAGAACTTCAATCGCTTCGATCAATGCTCGGCAAAGGAACACCATCGACAGGCAAAGTTTTAATGGTAAAATTTTTTTTCGATAATTTTTTATTTTTATAATTTTTTTTGTTTTTCTAAGGTTCTTTGTTTATTTTTTGCTGTTTTATTTGGTATATGGTCACCTATAGTGAATAAACAATCAGTCGATGATTTTATACGTTCGTCAAATGATGGATCATCATCATCACAACAAAAATCTTTAACATCATCAAATAATCCTGATTCATCAAATAATATTCGTTCAACAACAACAAAATCTTTAATTGAACAACAAGATATAATTAAACAAGAACCAACCTATTCAAATTATATTCCAAATAATTATAAATCGCGTGTACTATTATCCTATGATGAACATGAAAATCATTATCATGGACCTTATTTATCATCAAATAATAAATATAAATCATCATCTCAACAACAACAAACAACTGCACCAGGATATACTTATACAAATTCAGTTGAAAAATATATGAATAAAAAATTTAAATCAGGACATGATGAAGGAGAAATAAGTAAATTTCAAAAATTTATGTTAATTCTATTATTAAAAATTTTCGTTTATTAGATTTTTTAACACAACGATCATCATCTACATGTTTGAAACGACCATTAACTGTTGAATCATCTCCATCGATAATACTTTCAAATGATTATAAAAGTATTCGATTGAATCATACATCAAATTACCGTATTAATGAAAACGTGGTTGTTATTGAAAATTCAAATGAAAAAACTGATCATGATTCAACAACATTCGAAGGTAAACCATTAAAAATAATTCGTGTTGAACGAACAACACCTGCTATTGGTAATGATACATTAAAATTATCACATCGTACAGTGAATGAATAAGAAAATTAATTGAAAAAAAAAAAGAAAAAGAAAAGGAAGAACGAAGAACTGATTGTGTACAGTTGTTTGCTGTTTATTTCCTTTTTATTATATTTATTCTTTATTGTTTATTGTGTGTGTCTTTAGATATTTGTTGCTTTTTTTGTCGTATATTTATGTGTATGATTATCTGTTTTTTTTTCTCTCTCTCTTCTTGTTGTTGTTTGATTCTTTAAGAAAAAAAAGAAGACTTATTTATCTCTATTTTATGCGTTTGGATTCGATGTCTGTGTTTATCCGTTTGTTTTTTTTTCGTGTTTCTTTATCTTGCAACAAGAACATTATAAACGTGTTATATTATATGATTATCTCAACATGGGAATTTTACTTAAAGGGAATATTTAGCCCCGCAAAAATTATCTTTTTCTTTATATGAAACAAAAAACAGGAATATTCAATTTATTATAGTTTTAGAACGGAAATTGTTGGAAAATAAATCAATATTTGAGTTAAGTCTATAGAAAGATGTATGAAAATTTTAGCTGATAACGGAAGTCTTTCAACATATTAGATTGTATTTAATACAGTACGCTGATTCTGCATATCACGGTTTCAACAATTATTATGTCATAACAACCAATCTCCTACTGAGAGAAGCATATTTTATCAAATCTATTTACACTACACATTACTAAACAAAATATTCGTCGACTAATAAATACTGTAACTTGAAGTTCCAAGTACTACAATACATTGTCAAGTGGAAAAAATATTTATATATACAGTATATTACTTTTAATCTCATATCTTGGTCATTGTGTGAAGAAAATAAAATATTAGACGAGATGTAATACTGGTATAGGAAAGAGTGAATAAAACTGCATATATTTGCTATGAGGATTTGACTGTATTTGATCAGTTTTTAGGTACTGTCCCAAAATCCGGAGAAAAAGATTCGGAAAATTTTTGAGAAAAGATTAAACAGTTTATTTAACAAAGAACCATGTACAAGGGTGTGGGTGTGGGTGTGGATAAAGCATGGACGCAACACCCATACTCTCAAGATGCACGTCTGTGTATATTTGCTAATAGAAGTGCAGAGCACAGTAAAGTAGAATGGGACTCGGTAGACGATAATCATGATTGACGTAGACAACCATAATCATTTATGAAAGAATATTATCATTCTCTTCTGTCATAACAATATTAGAAATTTTCCGGATTTCAAGACATATTCAGTTTTTATACAGAAATCGAATCATCATTATAAAAGGTGTGAGATTTAAATCACTCAGATGCGTTGATAATTTGTGTCAACTAAATCCAAGTAAAACTGAATCCAGTTTCAGTCAAATTCGGTCAGACCCAATTGCAGAATTGGATTCGGTGCATGCTTATAAAGTTGCAGGTCTTATATACTGAAGATTACAGATTATATATAACTCTTGCTTTTCAAATTAACATTATATTGCCTTTTTAATTAAATGATAAATCAACTACTTTACCTTCGATGTCGAAATAACACATGAGATTAAAAATAATTATTCTAGTTTTTCAAGATAATAATAAGTTTATTTATTTTTCGGATCAACTTTGATCCATATAAAGAAGGAAAAACAACGACAAACAAAAGAGAAAAAATGAAATCTAGAGTACACACACAGAAACACACATATACAAATGAACAGTCATGATGCTGCGCTAATAAATTTTCTTTTTTTTATAATTAAGCTCGTTCACCACGAATACGTCGTGCCAATTGGATATCTTTTGGCATAATCTAAATTTCAAAATAATATAAAATTAAACAATAATACCGAAGAAAATTTTTTTTCTCTTACTGTGACCCGTTTAGCATGAATAGCGCATAAATTAGTATCTTCAAAAAGTGAAACTAAATAAGCTTCACTAGCTTCTTGAAGTGCACCAATAGCTGCCGATTGAAAACGTAAATCAGTTTTGAAATCTTGTGCAATTTCACGAACAAGTCGTTGAAATGGTAATTTACGAATAAGTAATTCAGTCGATTTTTGATAACGACGAATTTCACGTAATGCAACTGTACCTGGTCGAAAACGATGTGGTTTCTTAATTCCACCTGTTGATGGAGCTGATTTACGTGCAGCTTTTGTTGCTAATTGTTTACGTGGTGCTTTTCCACCAGTTGATTTACGTGCTGTTTGTTTGGTACGTGCCATGGAATATTAATCAAATCTTAAACAAAAAAAAAAAGAAAACTAATATAACCTTTGACCAAAAAAAAGCGCCATCTTTTTCTTCAACCATATTTTGACATTCTTTTCCTTTCTTCAGCAACCGACTAACAATAAACAGAACGAAAGATTTATTATTCTATGTCTGTTTTTTATTAAGGGTATGTCTTTTTATTTGAATTCTAACGAAGAAACTAACTATCTATAGATAAAAACAAAGAATTGAAAATGATTCATAAAATGGTTATTTCCAATTGTTTTCTTCCTTATACATACCAGCAATTAATGTAGTGAATTTCTTATTTGCTTATTTATTTGCTCTCAAGATTTAGAAAGAAAAAAAAACAACTTCGTTATTTCAAAAAAAAATAAAGTTTTATTTATTTCACTTTTATATTCTTAGTTTCGATTCATTGAAACGGACTTTGACGTTTTTTTTTGTAATTCTCCTTTTTTTTGCGTATACTCAGTTATGTATGCACACATTTCAACAACGTACTTATTTGATGTTGTATGCGGGTCGAGTTGTCGTCGGTAGTGTATGTGTGTGTTGCTCGTCAACGAGGATAATGCAATGAGAATGAGCGTTTTGCAGTGGGTATATATAGTGCAACAGACATATAAGCTCGAACCTCCTCCACCAATGAATTTGTATGCAAGAAGTTTGTGAGGCTCGACTATTAGGAGAATGGTAGATGATGATGCTTACACTTATTATTACTGTCTACGAAGTAATGTCGGTAAGATGAGAATATAGAAGATTCGAGAATGTCAAACGAAAGGGACGATGATCGACGGTTTCAGAAAGAAGAAAGCGAATGGTCGACTAACAACTAAAGAGAAAAAAAAAAGAAATAAAGAGGAAGAAGACCAGATAGAAATTAATTTATCCCTTGTCGCTCTCGTAGTTTTTTAACATATATGTATATTTATATAGAGGAAGAGAACGGAATGTTGGGGGATCATAAGCGAACCTTGAGAGTAGACGATAAATGTACGATAAAAGAAGTTAACAACACATATAGAACTAAAAGTGATGAAAGAACTTTGATAGAAATAAATAATCAAGATTGTACTACAATTGATAATAGAACAGGATGACCGATTTTTTTAAAAGATGAACAAGAAAAGAAAAGAAGGAAAGAGGAGAGAAAGAGAGGAAAGAGAACGAGACAGACGATAGAAGAGAAGGAAAGGAAAGGAAATATGTCGTCGATACAAAGGAGATTTCAAATATATATTAATAGGAAAACAAAGAATTACCTTAATTAATAAAAATGAAAATAAATTCTTAATTAGATAGAAGAACAGAACGGATACGAGCGCCATCTATGTCATAAAATATTTTATAAATAGAATCGTATAGTATCCATGTTGCTTATAGATTAAATAATGAAAAATATTTTTAATAATCCAGTTGTTCGAATGGTACGTGATGAAGTAAATGATCTTCGAAAGAAAAATAAAGATACAAAAACTGATCAAGAAATTCCATCAGGTCCTCCAGCATATTATCATCATCCACCATCAACATCATCAACAACCACCACCACCACAGATTCTTATTCTCATACAGCGAGTTCAACAGCAGGTTATTCACAAACGAATGCTTATCCAACATTAACAGCACATAATCAAGAACGTGATAGACAGGTTTTTAATCTGAATTATATTTTTATAAATTTTAATTGATAATTATATAGAGTTTTCTTGGTAAAATTGAATCAACGACAACGAATTTACTTGGAAATGTAATTGGACAAGATACAGTAGTTTCTGTAGCACATAAATTAAATACTGCAGTAACAACTGGACGTAATGCACGAGTATGTTTGAAAAAAAATTTCTTTTTTTTTGTTAATAAATATTTATAATAAAAGGAACTTCTTCGAAATGGTGCAGTTGTTCAATTGGTTTCAAAAAGTGCAGGAAGTTTACTTCAAGTTGTTATGTCAACGAATGGCGTTCTTATATTTGATGGAAATGGTGCTGCTAATTCGTTTAATAGTAAGTCTTTTAAGATTATTTACAGTCGAAATAATAGAGAAAAAAATTCAATTTCTTTTACTTTTAGCTTATTTCACTGTTGAAGAAGCTGAAAAAGGTCGACTTCGATTTCATAACAATTACAATTATTTAGCATTTGAAGGCAAACTAGCTTGTATCATGTCATTTGTATGAATACATTTCTTTAAATAAACATTTTATAATTGTTCTCTTTTAGCCACCTGGTGCTAAGAATAATACTAGTATTGATTTTCGTGTACATGATATACTTGGTACTAGTGAATTAGTAGCACTTGAATCATGTGCATATAAAAATCATTTCATTTCTATATCACCTGATGGTCTTCTTAAAACAACGAATATTAAAGATAAAAATATTGATGCTCAGTTTTCAGTTGTATCTATTGTAAGTGAAATATTATGTTTCAAGAATAATTTATTACGTATTTATATAGATAAATAATCAGCAAATGATGTATCCACAGCAGACACAACCACATCAACTATATAATATGAGTCCATATAGTAGCATTCCATCTAGCAATGCAAATGTATCTAAGGATTCTCAACCATCTTCAATGTATCATGAACAATCGCAATCACTCTATCCTCAGCCACCAAAGTATCATGAACAATCGCAACCATTATATCCTCAACCACCAATGTATCAACAGCAACAACACCAACCACCACCATCAACATCTCTTGAAAATTCTTCGTACGCTACACAAAGTCCATATAATCAATCAACAACATCGTCGAGTTTATATCCAAAATTTAATTAAATAACATTTTTTCTAAATTCGTCCATTTGTATCGACTTATTATTTATGTGAAAAATATTAAATATTCCAGAATTTATTATATACGTACTCTTCAAGTAAAATAAATAAAATACTATTGATATTTTTGAATATGTTGTTAAATAGAAAAATACTAGTAGAGCCTGAAATAATCATATATAGCAGTATATTAAAACGTTTCTTCTTCTTTTTCGACATAATCATTTTGATCTGTTTGTTTTTTCTTCCGACAATGTCGTCTAACATTAGATATAGTCAAACGAATTTCAAATGTCAATAAACAAGTAAGTAAAATAGTAATGAATATAATGATACAGATCAATAACATAAATATTGAAGCTGTTATAATTAATTGTTGAATAACAGGTAATATTTCATCAAAACATCCATTAATATTGATACGTTCTTCAATTTCGTTCATATCTATCGTCGTATTATTTGATGGCAAGGTATTCGTTCCTGTTAATAATGTATACAAAAAGATTTTCGTCTATATACGAAAGAGATCATACCACAAGTATAAGAAAGAGATTTTGTATCAATATATTTGTTGTTCTTTACTTCTTTTTGTTGAATTTTACAACATGTAAAAGGCACAGAACAAGCATCTATATACAATTAATTAGTATGAATGAATTTCAAATAAATATTATACCAAGACTTTGCAGAATATTGGAAGATGTACATGCGTAGTTTGGATTATCATTCCAGTCATTGAATGAATAAACACCTAAATAAACAACAGAAATCAGTCTAAGGTTTATTTCCTTTTTAAATACTTACCACAACAAAAATAACTCATATGAAGTTTATCGAAAAAAGCGGTCCATGCTTTATCAATATGATAATGTATTTTCAATCCAATCATCATTGTTTTACTTATTCTGTTTCGAATTGTTTCTCCCCATATTAATATTATAATAGCAAATGTTAGAAAAATAATTAATGTTACAAATTGAGCAATAAGTGAAATACGAAGAAGCTTCAAATTTTCTCGATTTATTCCTAAACAACTGATTATACATAATAGAAAAAATAATAGGCCAAATATGCAAAGTATAATTCCAATAAAATTAAATGGATTTAAAGATGTTGAATCTGCTGTATTTATCTTGGGCATATGACTAAATTTACGGTGTTCGAATGAACTCCATAAACCAATAAAAAATACAATAAAACCTAATCTAAAACTTCATATTTTATTTCTATAACAATATTAGTTGATTAATACATACATGCTATTAGTAAACATAATACCAAAAGTGAAATATTTCAATAAACCATTAACGCGATTAAATTCTGGTTTTAAACAATGAGAATCAAATTGATATTTATGTACTTGATGATCTATTGTTTTCGATGAGCAAAATCGTTGAAATGGATCTATTAACCATTTTACTCCTGATTTTAATTTATTTATAAATGAATTATTAACAATTAGATCTGACTCAGATGAACTCCGTAAACTATTACTACGGCGTGACTCTGTAGCAGTTTCTAGTTGATCGAGTCGATCAGAAAATGATGTTACAGATGATTGTACTTCTGATGAAACCATATATACATATATATGTTTTAATTTGTATGAAGAATATCACGGCGCCAGTCACCAGATAATTATCGCTATAAATGAGTTCATCGATGAAACTTATTGAATGCGATATATTTGTTTTCCATGAGTGAACAGTCAGAAAATAGTAGTTAAAACACAAAATGAATATATTTTAACATTATCTTATGTTGCTATACATTTTCAAGACGTTATTCACATAAAAAATTTCAGAAAATTTTTATATGGATTTATTAATGCTAAAAATCGTAGTTAACATTTGCTGAAGTCATTGTAACGAACAATAATGTATATACACTTATTTTACTAATGATATAAATTAATTGTGAACATAAGGTATACATTTTAATAACGGGTGTGTGTGGGTACAAGTGTTGATGTGAGAAGAATACAAACACTCACACCGTCTAAGTCGAATGTTGGGATATAACTTAGCGAGCTGCACTGCTATTCCAAGAAAAAACTTTCAGCCTTGATGCTTTTAACTGTATATAACATGGACTAGTCTTATAAATCCATATAGCTCATTGATTTCTCGAATAATATACTCGACAATACTGCATTCTTGTACAAAATCATGCATTTTCACAATATCTCATAGAAACAACATACTACTGACACATACAATACCCGACTGCGTTCTGTCCCATTTGATAGTTAAAATCGAAAAAGTATCTTTACTTAAAAATATGCCACACTTTATATAGATTTATCCCAATGAAAACAACTTAACTTATTTAGCTTGAGTTTATTTCTATCTTAACCATTTGTCAGTATAATTTACACTATAATTTTAGTTATTTATTTCGGAAAATATTAATAATTATTAAAGCTATCTTCAAACTCTCAAAGATACAAATTATTGAAAAGCTTTACGAGAAAAACCGCCCTGATTGGATCCTATGACCATTATCAGAGATTTTTCGATCCGACCAAAATTTGCTTTGGCTAGATGAATTACTGAGATTTTTAGACTAGGGTACGAGTGTGGGTGATATCAACATTTTTCTTATCACACACCCACACCCAGAACTTCATCCACACCTACATCTACACTTTCACCCAAACGCACAAACATTTATACTTTCACCCGACTTTCCCCCACGACCACGTCTCCACTCTCACCCACATCGACATCTACACTTTCACACAGATTTTCTCCCCCGACTTTCACCCACACTTTCACTCACACCCACATCCACACTCGCACCCAGACTTTCACCCACAGCCACCCAGACTGTCACCCACAGCCACCCAGACTGTCACCCACAGCCACCCAGACTTTCACCCACAGCCACCCAGATTTTCACCGACACCCTCACCCACATCTACATTAGGGGGTGGACAGTTCAGTTTAGTTCCAAAGAACTGAACTGTTTAAACAGCTCTTTTCCCTAGACTGAAAAGGATAGGGTCTAGAAACGGGAATTATCTTTTTACATGTATCATTTTTGTCGGTAACATGGCACAAGTGACCATTTTTTGGCACAGATGACCATTTTTGTGGCAAAAGTAACCATTTTCAAGGCACAATTAGCCATTTTTTAGGCACAGATGACCATTTTTTTGGCGCAAATGACCATTTTTTTGGCACATTTGACCAATTTTTGGTACAAGTGACCATTTTTTAGGCGCAAATAACCATGTAACTGGCATATTTTTGATAATATAATTTTATTTGCTATTATCGTTTTATTTTAATTACATAATATTTAATACATAATATTTTATTCAATCGTATGAAAAGAGCGCTAACTTAAATATGTAAAATATTTCTTGATTATACATATATATATATATATATATATATATGTATAATGTTTTATATAATTGTATCAGAAGGGCGCGAACTTAAGAATTTAATTTATTCGTTAAAAAAGGCGCGAGCTTAAATATATGAAATATTTCTTAATTATATATAGATCATTATTTTATTCAATAAATTAAAATAGTGTGGCAAAGCCAATTTACTTTTAATACGGAGAAAGATGAAAATAATATTAATAACAAAAAAACGAAACGTTCGTGCACATAGTACTATAAAGCTTTGAAAAAATATTCCACCTATTTTTCTATAGCATATTATTTATCATCATCGACAAATATTTTTAATATATGTTTGAAAAAAGCAATGATGTACCGAAACGTCCTGTACGACGACTTATTAAAATAAGATCAATAATGAGAAGCTTAAAAACATACGCATTGCAATTTGATCATATTAAAAGTCTAGTTGTTGCATTATCGGAAAACATTTTAGTAAATTTGTAAGTTTAATAGTCTTGCTATAGTGTATATAGATAAGAGAGTTCAAAATCAATTTTGGTATACAATGATAAAGAGATCTCCACTATAGTTTTTGTTTTGAAATCCTACTTTTTATAAAATTGACTTAAATAAAGCTAAAACATTGTTAAACTTTATTATTCATTCGTCAAATATCAAAGTTTTAGGGAATGTTTGATTTTATATTAAGTAGAAATTCAACTTGATTTCCTGCTGAAAATCAAAACTAATATTGATTAACTCTCATTCGTATCTAAATACAATTATATCCGCATACAGACCGCGACAGTCTAGGGCCAAGTGAATCGAGTTTCGGTGAACGCTACTTGTTGATAAGAACTGATCTGATTGTTCATACAGTTCCTTTGAGAGGAACTTCTTCTTGAGAACAGTTCTTTTTGTAGGAACTGTCCGAAATGATTCTCAAAACAGAATAATATTACTCATTACTCAGAAGTAGTGTTTCCAAAGCAGAACAAAACTGTTCTGTTCTGGGAATACCACTTCCGAGCGTTGAGCAATATTGTTCTATTCTGGGAATACTGCTTCTGAGTGTTGAGTAATATTGCTTTGTTCTGGGAATATTGCTTCTGAGTGTTGTATAATAATATTCTGTTTTGGGAATCATCTTGGATAGTTCCTACGAGAAGAACTGTTCTCAAGGAGAAGTTCTTCTCAAAGGAACTGTATGAACAATCAGATCAGTTCTTATCAAAAGAACTGTTTAAACAATTCAGTTCTTTGTAACTAAACTGAACTGTTCGACCCCTAATCTACACTTTCACCCAGATTTTCACCCACACCCAAACACACACTTTCAACCAGGCCTTCACCACACCCACATCTAAACCCACATCCACCCAGACTTTCACCCACACCCTCAAGATTTGTCTTTTGTAAGATCATAGAAACAGTTGACAGATGGATGACATTTTTATAATGGATAATATTCCGTTATTTTTGTTTGATTTCATCATTTTTGTTTAGTGAAGCCCAAAATGATGGCGAAGTGAAGAAAAGCATTCTTTTTACATTAAAAAAAGCTTGATAGAGAAGTAATAAAAATAAATGTACTGTATTATAGAAGGCTATGCACTTGCGATGATTATCAACTTTAAAGAAATAAATATTGATATTTTTCCTATATGCAATGTAATGAATATCTAATATGAATATTCTTTTCTTTTTTATAAGCAAATCTAAGGTGAATGCAAGTGAAAAAAAGTTTTCTTCGTAAAAATGAAGGAATCACTTTTGATTGGATTGAAACGAACCAAACATCTGAAAATCTGATCAGTAGACATGAATTGATAACAATTAAAGGGTATGGATGTTGGCTAACACAAGCTTGAAACCTGTATCCATACCCACACCCACCCAAGGTGATTCAGAGCTTTAAGGTTGAGGTTTTGCGCATGGCCAGAGCCCGATGAGCCCAGAAGAATCCTAAAAGGATAAGGACCCATGTGCCTTGCTTCTTGAATTATGATCATTTTATTGGATATATTATCGAGGATAAGGGATGCATTAAAAAATTATACTATCGACTTTTGACCTGAAATTTTGCCTGTAGATAGAACTAATGACTCTCAGAATATCCTGAAAGTTTCAGTCGAAGGGAGTTTTCCTTTGCTCAGATATTAATTATTGAAACAAACTCGTTTTTGCGACATATTTGTGGCAAATGACTATCTTTTAAAAATTCAATATCTCGACAAAAGAACATTCTTTTCGGTTAAACTTTCAGGATATTCTAAGAGTCATTAGCCCTGTCGACAGGCAAAATTGGAGATCAAAATTCGATAGTATGATTTTTTAGTGAATTCCTCATCATTGATAATACATTCAGTAAAACGGTCATAATTCATGGAAGGCATATGTATCCTTATCCTTTTCGGATATTTCTAACCTCATCGAACTCTACTTATACGGAAAATCTCAGCCTCAAAGCTGTGAATCATCTCGAACGGTTCCCTTCGTCAGTATATAAACAAATATATCGATGGTTTCTATGAGAGGGTAAAACAAAAAGAAGTAAATATTCTCAGAAAGTTACCTGTAACCAATTGGATACCATCTCTTTTATTTTTAAAATAAACTCTTTAATATGATTAAAAGTAAAAAAATGCTACCATCATTTGAAAAGGAAGAAAAAAACTTTATTCTAATCAAAGGAACGACAAAGAAACTTCGAGAACTAATATGAAGAAATAAAAAACGTTTGAGTTAAGATAGTTAAGATATGGTTAATTATCTCTGGCTATATTGTTAATCTGAATATAAAATTCTGCTTCAATACATCATAGTTATTTTCTTGATCAAAAAGATCAATTACTTTTATAAGATATTTCATAAAACAATTGTTAAATATAAACTTATTAAGAAATCAATATACCAAAATATTTGAAATGATATTAGAAACATTGAGGTTAACGCTGGAAATTAAATAAAACGAATCACTTTAGGAGAGATTGTAAGACTATAATCTTTGAGCTGAAGAGCAGAAAAAAAACACTTCATTTCTTTGTGTCGTGATCATTACAGTTATTTAATTTAATCATATGATTTACTAAGAAGAAAATAGGAAAGACTTCTAAACTAATTATCAGAACGGCAATAAAGTATGTGGCACCAAACTTTGTTAAATATGAAATAATTATTATTTGTTTTATATAGAAAAGATTATGTTCTCTAACACTCGTTTATATTGTACACGATTGAAGAATATAACAAGTTGATTCCAGGGAAATTTATATAACAGAAATAAAACGACCAAAAAAATATATAATAAAACAAAAGAAAGAAAAAAAAAACATTTCAAAAAGATGAGTTTGTTGCTATCCGGAATATTTGTTTTAACTTTACTAACAGTGTGATTCATCGATTAGATGTGTGTGTGCCACTTTTGTAATGACTTGAAAAAGAATACCTACTTGATTTTGCGTTCTCCAGATATTAGCATATTGTCACAACAACTCGCTCGCAGAAAATAACAAATTACTTGTTCATGTAGTGAGCCTTTTGCCTGACGTTCACACATTAATGCTCGAATTCATAATGAGAAAAATTTGAAAGATCTGAAATATTAAAACAATTGTCCTTGAGTTCATCTTTCTTCGAAGATTTGAATAGAAAAGAATTCTTAACGAAGTTCGATATTATTTTAGTTCTTCCATCATGACCAAAGTTGATTTTCATTTGGTTCTGTGTAAAAAAACAGAGATGGTATACTAATTAATTAGTTTTATTTTGCTTAAGTGGTGATCTCTACATAGAAAATCTTTCATTTGTAGGGAATAGGATTCGGTTAATTTTTGTTCTTAGACTGTTGTGGAATAAAAATATAAACGTATGTAATTATATCTTGATTTAAAGATCAAAGACTACATTTGATCTGATTTTTCCGTAGTTAATAAAAAGAAAAAAACACATTTTCTACTACATTTAATTTATTATTTTCTTTCTACATTTAGTAGTTTTGTCAATGTTTTGTTTCTCGCGTTGCTAAAGGCTCATTCAACACATGCCACTTATCGAAATGCATTTTTCTGTTAGATGCCCCATATGTCATCACCAAGGGAACTCTTTTCTTCTTTTTTTTTCTCTGACGAGTATATAATGTTGAGTTTTCAGTGAGAATATGTGTCAGTGGAATACGGAAGTTAAAAAGGCATTGATACATTATAACAATACGCTTACATTTTTTTTTGGCTCTCAAATTTTGTTAGATCAATTAGTCACTTTGGTATTGTCTTGGAGGTAAGTGTGTGTGTGTGTACATAAACATGTAAAAGGAGACGAAATTAATAATGACCGAGTAGAATTAATTTACGGTTACACATAGTGTATAGTGTTCAGAAAATCTTTCTAATCTATGGTGTGGAATATTTTTAAGCATCAAGCTGAATGACCGTCTGTCGCCTTTCCTTTTCATCTTACGATAATGCCATCCAGTTTCGAGAAGATAAATGAAACAACCAATTTCTTTTTTAATCCTGTCTAATTTTTTCTTGGGTCTCCACTCAATCTTTGCGTATTGATCTTCCAACACGCTATTTACGATTCTCTCTTTATTGAGAAAAAAAGGAAGACACAATTCGGCAGTGGAAACAATATATTAGTCGTAAATCGAATCACTTTTAGCCAGAAGATGTGACACTCGTAAAGTCATTTTATTTTTTATTTTTTTCTCTTATCACTTTATGAAGTCGTATGTTAAATGATGTGGAAGCTCGTAATGCGTTTTCTATCTATCATATTCATAGAATAACATATCTGAACGAAATCTATCGAACGCTCCGAGTTTTGAAAAATGAAAGCGTCAGCCCATGGCGGCTTTTAATTATAAAATAAATGGAATGTTGTACATAGTCTATATAAGATTTATTCCAAGATCTACAAAGGTAAATGAGTGTCCATGAACTGTTTATAACAATCGCTCACGAGCTTGTAAGAGGCTCTGAATGTCTAACACGGTTTTCCAGGGCATACTAAGGTCTTCCACAGTGTTTTCAAATCATCAGAACCTCATCGGACCTTCAAAGGGCTACTCGAGTCTTCGAAAGCCTAGAGAAATCCTTATCGTGTACTTCAATCCTCAAGGATAAGGACTTACTCGGGTCCTCTATAACCTATAAAAATCTTCCAGAGCCTACTGAGATAAAAAAAAAACTATACAAAAGCCTTCAGAGCATGTTCGCTACTTCGAAAGTCTAGAGTAACATTTCAGAAATCCTCGAATCCTTGAAAGCCTGCAAGAGTATTCCGAGAACACTGTGTTCGTTGGAACTCTAGAAGATTATTCCGTGAATACTAGGATCATTGAAAGCTTCGAGGAATATTCCGGGAATATCCGGATCATTGAAAGCCTAGAGACATATTCTGGGAACACGCGATTCCTCAGAAATCTAGAGGAATCTTCTGGGAATACTCGAATCCTTCAAAGCCTAGAACAATATTCCGGAAATACTCGGATCCTTCAAAGCTAAGAAGAATATTCTGGGAACACTCGGATCTTTGAAAGCTTATGAGAATATTCAGCGAATACCCGAATCCTTGGAAGCCTAGAAGAATATTCCGGGAACACTAGCGTCCTTGAACGCCTAGAAGAATATTCCGGAAATACTCAGATCCTTAAAAGCCCACAAGAATAGCCTGGGAATACTCGAAGGTGGGTGTGGAACAAGATTCCGGGAATACACGGATCCTTGAGAGCGTACTAGAATATTCCAGGAATACTGGGACCCTCGAAAGTCCAAGGGAATGTTCTGGGAATACTAGTATCCGTGAAACCCTACAAGAGTATTCCGAGAATGGTCGGATCCTTGAAAGCGTAGAAGAATATTCCGAGAATCCTTAGATCCGTGAAAGCCTACAAGAGTGTTCCGGTAATACTCGGATCTTCGAAAACCTAGAGGAATATTCCGGAAACCCTCAGATTCTTGAAAGCTTTGAGGGATGCTTCGGAAATGCTCGGATGCCTATAAGAATATTCCGGGAGTACCCGGTTCCTCAGAAGTCTAGAAGTATATTCTGGGGACACTCGGATCCTGAAAAGTGTGTAGGAATATTCGCGAAACCTTCGATTCCTCGAAAGGCCTTGTGGAGTCTCCATGGCCTATTCAGATCCTCTAGGTTCTACACAGTTTGTTATCGGTAGAATAACCGTGAGACAGATGACTTCGCTGTGTGTTTGTGTAGCGTGTCGTCCATTTCAGTAGAGCCATATGGATTAGTGTGTGCTTTTTGACACTGTTACCCTTTAAAGAGACAAGTCTACAAAAAGATCGAAATTATCTCGGTCTAGCTTTTCTCCTGTTTTTAGTTACAGCTCTCAGTCCTTTTAGGGTGAGATTTGGGTGTAGTGCAAATGTAGGATGATGTGAGTATGTGGGTGAAGGTGAGAGTAAAGGAGCAATATAAGAGAGACGTGTGTTGCAGTTGAAAATCTGTCGCTGTTATGGATATCTTCGGAGTATAACACCCAAGAGTAGACCCGCATTAGCAATCTCATCTACATCTGTACCCTCAAGGGTTACTGAAAGTCGATTAGTCAACTTCAAAATTGCAAAGTCATTAATGATGAACTAGCTTTCTTTCAAATTGTAAAATCAAGTTCAACATATGTATGACATGAAATCGATGCAAACAAAAATTGGCTTTGTTAGATGGGTGTGAAGAACAATACATTTAATTGCTGGTGTTTGTATGAGTAGTTAAGAGTTGAGAGTGTGGGTGTAAGTCGTAAAAAGAATAGCTCACAGATAAATGTGTCTACTCACACATATTCGCTCATGCTTGCCTCAATCATCACATCGGTGGGATTGATTTGTTGTGTAGCAATATCTAGTGGCACGTCAAATGAACTGTTAATTAGTGTTGAGGTTACTGAGAGGACTCCAGTGCTTGTGCATACACTTTTGTAAAAACGTTTTTCATTGTACGTAGACCTACTGAGGTACTATAAGATGTTACCAATTTTATTTAAGAAATCGCTTTGGACTAAACATGTGCTCTGACTCATCAACAAAAATTTCTTTAGGATTTTAACTGTTGAAACGTAAGATGGATAGAAGAGATGAAGTGGGTCATCGTAGTGGTTTGTGTCGAGTCCTTATCGAGCTTAACCTATTTGAAACAAACTTAACTGATGCGCGGTCGATCACTATTCAACGATGGTCAACACGCGTTTACATTGTCCTTCTCCTCTCCGCGATGTCCATTCTACTCGTTTATGATGCGTCGGCTCTCAATACACAACAAGTTGAAGTGAAAAATCCCTCTCTCGAAACATATTTCAAACTACAGAATACCTACCAGACGAACGTTGAATGTGCATGCACTCAAATATCTGTTTCGTATGGTTCGTTCGTTGAACTGGTTCCGGTATTTCATGAGATATGTACCAGTGTTTTTGTGTCACAAGAATGGATCGATCTACTCTTCGATGATACAACATTCATGCGGTGGGTATTGGATTTTCGTGCGACAGCTAGTCAACAATTCCAGGTATTACGGGAACTCTGCATGTTCTCACAAACGACCATTAAAAATGATATCCAAGCATTCTACAATGATGAACTCATCTCAGCATATTTACTGAGTGAGTCTTTATTAGAAGCTGAACTAGCACCAATCACTAAGGCCTTTCGAATGAATAGTATAGCGAATTTTCTTCAATTACTTTCATTTGTTCGTACGTATGTGTTGGGAAATCAACTTATGCCTGCAATTGAGACTGCTTTCATATTGCAGCTTATCACGGATGATGGATTAGCTTGGAGTACAACGGGAGGCATACTTGTATTTAACCCACACGGAACTAGTGCCACTTGTGAATGTACTTCATCGGCCTCTTGTAATATGTGGTCCGCTTTCTACAATACAAGTTCGCCCGACTTTTCTACGTATTTGAGTTGGAAACCAACCGCGGTATCACTTCAAGTGCAAAATTGGTTTGTCGCTTGCTGGCCCTTGGAGTCACTTCTTCTTTCATCACTCGACAACAGTTTCTTGAATAATCAAACTGCACTAGATGTTATTGCAACCAATTTTAATTGGCCATCGAATTCGACGCCTATGGCTCTGAATATACCGAACGGGATAAATCAAACTGTTACGTTCAACGATACTTTGCAGACATCATTCATAGAAAATTTCTCGACAGAACTCAACTATTCACTTTATTATGCTGAATGTCGTCCACGATCGTGCTTCTACTGGATTAATCAACACTCCAGCTTTTTATACATATTCACTACTCTTCTTGGATTGTATGGAGGTCTATCAGTTGTTCTTCGATTACTTATTCCACATGTGGTCGGCTTCTTGGTTCGATATTTGAATCGAACATCACCTCAACTTCTTGCTGTTGATGCTGGTAAGTTTAGATTGATGCTCCATGAATCAAACTTTATTTTCTTTATTGATTGGAAACTTCCTTTGTATATAGTGACAGCAAGAGTGTCGTGGAAACAACGAGCACGAACAATGGTAAAGATCATACGAGATGCACTTGTTGATCTCAATCTGTTCAAATCATCGCTTCGACAGCAACCATCCGATATCAAACAACAACGTTGGACAACACGAATCTATATTACACTACTCACTGTTGCTCTTATCATTTTAGCACTTCATGGGATACTGAGTTTCGAATCAAAATTGATTGAAGTGAGTAAGCCTTCATTTAGTACTGTGCAACAATTACAATCTCAGACCAACATAATTTCTTCTTTACAATGCCCATGTACACAACTAACCGTTCCCTTTGGACAGTTTATTCAACTCCAGCCATTGTATCATCAAGTATGCTCCAGTGATTTTGTAACAGACGACTGGATAAAGGGTTTCGATGATCTTACTGATCTCTCATTTATCGCCAACTCTACTGATTTTCGATTTAGCCAGCCGCTTTTTGTGCTTCTGCAAGCTCTATGCGTGTATTCTAATGAAACAATTGTGGATGCATTGCAAACATTTCAAAATACTACACTGGTCAGTGCTCAATTGCTTACAGTCAATGACTTTACAAATCAAACATCCGCTGTTATTCGTCAATTTAAATTGGAAACAACAAGTACCTTCATACACTTTGTTCAACTTCTAAGTAATATCACATACGTCAACCAGATTCTATCTGGTTCACAAAGCAATTTTTATACCGACGTTGCTGGTCCACCTAATTATCAGGCTTCTTTCTCTATCATGAGTTACACCACTAGTGATGGCAATTCATCTTATACATGTTCTTGTGTCAATGATGCTACCTGTAAAACACAATGGGGCTTATACACTGGATCTCCAGCAATGATGTCGGATGCATCGATCTTGCTGTATTCTCTGCCTGGGTTATACTATGGCTGTCAACTATTCGACTCACTTCTACAGTCAACACTTGAATGTTTTTACGACAGCCATAACTGTTTGGACATTATTATCAACTTTTACTACAACTTTTACGGTGTATCAACTTTTGACAATTTTACTCGACTCAATTCTTCTCTTATTGATAGTCGCTTTGTGATAAATAGTACAATCGAATCTTTAGTTTCACAAATGTTTATCGAATCTTGGTCTAACTCTACAAATTATTCATCCTATTTTGCTCAGTGTCAACCAGCATCATGTTCTTATACGATTCCACAACGTAATAACTTAATAGAAACAATAACAAGAATTGTTGGTCTGATCGGTGGTTTGTCTGTATCTCTCCGCATTCTTGTTCCGTTTCTTGTCATCGCATATATCGAAATCATTCGACGCCTGTGGTCACAGCATCAAGAGGTAGTGACAGAATTGAGTAAGAACATTTTTTATTCATATCTAAAGCATTTTTATTTACATTACACTTAGCTCCTCCTCGGGCGCGTTTTGTGACAGTTGGTATTAAGATTCGAGATTGGCTCAAGAAAGTGAATGTATTTGAGGATACAAATCGTGTAGTCAGTACTGAGCAACAATGTCTAGCAACACGCGTATATATACTTCTTCTCATCATTTCATTAATCATTCTCATTATATACACTTCGTTAACCTATTACTTGAATACATTCACAATAACAAATCCATCTCTTGAACAATATCAACAGTTACAAGAACGCTATGGATTAGCTGCTGTCAGTTGTTCATGCTCTCGATCGTCTATTACACAATCAACATTTATCGAACTGGAATGTAAATTTCATCCAGTGTGTACAAGTCATTTTGTTTCTGATTCATATCTGCAAGAACTATTTGAATTGTACAATGATTTGGATACGACATATGCATCCTCAAACGCATATACACTTCAAGGTACCATTTTCACTCATTTCCAAACTCTTCTTGTCTTGTGCAATTTGGCAAAAGATTTCGCATTAGATGCTCAACAACAATACCTTGCTTCGTATGTCGTCTCTACCTACATAAGTGATTTTGATCTATTCGAAACAGAAACAAATACATCCCTCACCAGTTTCCGGGCGACATTGCCGAATTCATTTTTAAATTCGCTTCAACTGATACGTGGCCTGATGCAGGGCAACGGACTTGTTTCTGCCTATTCGACAAACTGGTATCCTTTTGCCCACACTATATCTTACGGTGGGAAAATTTACTTTAAACCACAGTATTATGGTAGTGATAGATGTAACTGTGCCACATCAGCCACGTGTACTCAGCCCTCGACTCCTTTCGTTTATGGCTATCTTGTTGGTTGTACTCCACTTGAATCACTTCTTCAAAGTACAATCGAATGTCTGTATGAACAATCTTGTGTTGATCTTCTCGGCATCTATTTAAATATATCTTTACCCAATTCTTCTATATCACTGCACAAGAATGAAACTCGTTTTTCTTCAACTGACACAATCGACTCTATCGTTCAACAAATGTTTATCGAAAATTGTTCATCAAATATTTCATACAATCAATATTTCGAACAGTGTAAACCTGACTCTTGTTCAGTAACACTCTTTGAACCAGGCAGCTTCATTATTGTCGTCCCCACAATTCTGGGTCTTTATGGTGGATTAACGACTTTTCTTAAACTCGTCGTTCCCTTCCTCGTATTTTCGACTTATAAACTGATCAGAAAATACAAGCAAAGAGCACAAGTTGGCGTCCAAAATGTAAATATATATTTATAAAGTTGTCTGTCTTCACAGGAAGAAGAGTATAGATAAAAGATTAACTTCATAGTATCATCAGAGAGACTACACAAAAGAACTCTATTGCCTACACCTAGTGGCAAAATACCAGTTTACAAAATGCCGTACATCTAAGAATATTCCCTATTTGAAACTCCTTATAACTGTATTCGTTTGCAACTCATGTATGTTGTTTAGATTCCAGCGGCTTCCTCGAATAACAACACAACAACAATCGTCAATACAGATCATGAAGAACATCTTCCCAGCACCACTGTTGCTTTAAGATCGGTGTCTACAGCTCCAGCACTTTTGTAGGCTTTGTTCTTTAAATTTTAAATATAATTCACCGTTATTTTTGTTAGGACACGTTTCTTTGCATCCATACCACGTTATATCAAAGTTCTGGTTGGGCTTACACTATTTATACTTGTAGTAGCTGTCATCGTTATCCCATCTATTTATCTTACTCGACAAGGTCCAATTCAAACTGCGCTAACAAGTAAGACCTTCTTTATTGCTACACTCACTTGGTACTTAAATCGAATCGAGAGTTCCATTCGATTGTAAGATATGACTATGTACAGCTTTCGTGTGCACAAGAGAATAAAAAATACTACTCAATAAAAGATAAAATCTTGATAAGGATTTCCGGATGTTTAGTTGAAAATAGAATGTAAGATATACTATACTGAGTAACTTCAGAAGATGACAAGCTATGATGAGAAACTGGTATAAATGGTACCCTTGAAAACAGTGTAAAAATATGTATGTGAATTTTGGCTGGTTAATTTAATTATTGTTCTTACATTCAGTTGAAGTATAGCTACAGTATCGATTGCTATCATCGATGACACACAAGATAACTAATAAAACAAGTAAACTTATTCTGAAAGTTGCTACCACACTATATAGTTTGAATACCATTGAGTATTTTTGTTGCTAATCATATATACATATTATTGAATATTTGTCGAACATCTTTTATTTGCTAGTTCCTTTAACAAGCACAAGCACGACAACCAGCATCAATATAAGTACCACTATTAGTAAGATAATCACTACCAATAAGAGCACAATAACAAGTATAGTTCCAAATACGACAATGAGTACAACAACTACCAGGATTTATTCGCCGATAACGGTCTCTATTCCAGCAGGTTTGTACATTACGTCTATCTCATTGTTTTTTGTATGACGTTGTGATTCAGCGAAAAAACCAAGCTCATTGGTTTTCATCATACCTTATGAAATGAATTATCCCGTTCACCATCTAAGAAATCACATCAGCTGATCTTTTCAAAGAGCATCACTCTCATCTAAGCGACAAGGATCATATAGAGACTACCTTTAGATGTTATCTGACGTTGATGGTGCCGAGACACTCATAAGAATTCTATTTTAATGAAATACTCGCAGATGTGTATTATAACATATTAAATAAAACAAGGACATACATTCTTGAGAATTGAGTAAGTATATGAACAGATAATTGAGAATAGAAAAGTACATTGTAACAGAATCGTTCACTTGACTACATTGTAAATAAATAAATTTAGGCTTCTTCGAATAGTAATAAGTAATTGAGAAACAGACGCTATTATAAGTGGCCTTGACAAAAAATGATTAGTTTTTTAAGTTGGATCATTAACACACGACAAACTCAGAATTCGTATACATTATGGGCTCATATCGATGACCTTTGAAGCCGAAAAAAACTTTTTTGAGTAATCTTTACTTTGTTGACTTCTTCTATTAGTCAAACAGTGTACAAACCTGACTTTCACTACAGCGGTTTCATATACAGTTGGCTCTTCCCCGCAAGTGATTGCTGTGAATGACTTCAACGGCGACGGAATACTAGATCTTGTCAATATTAATTACAAAGGAAACACCGTGAGTATTCTCCTTGGAATCGGTAATGGGAGATTTGGATCACAAGCAACGTTTCCGGTTGGTCGTTTCCCATCATCGATCGCTGTCGGAGACTTCAATGGCGATGGTCCACTAGATCTAGTAGTTACCAACAGTGCTGATAATACCATGAGTGTATTACTTGGAACTGGCACTGGTAGTTTCGGACCACAAATATTATATTCAACTGGTCTTAGTCCACAATGGATCGTTGCCAAAGATATCGATGGCGATGGTCAACTAGATCTTGTTATTGTCAACGGCTACTCGAGCAATGTAGGTGTGATGCGTGGAATTGGGAATGGGAATTTCACATCACAAAAAACATATCCGACTTTCGCTAATCCGACTTGCGTTGCTGTCGATGATTTCGATGGTGATGGTTGTCTAGATCTTGTAGTTATCAGTTCCACCTGGCCCCTTATGAGTGTGTTACTTGGAACCGGACATGGAGATTTTCGATCGCAAACCATGTTTACATATGGTCATACGTGGTTTGCGATCGTTACTAGTGATTTCAACGGTGATAGTCGACCGGATATTGCTGTCACTTACATCTCACAATCGATGCCTAGTGTTGGTATACTAACTGGAACTGGTAATGGATCTTTTGAATCACAAGTCAGATTTTTAACTGGTGTTACTGGTCTACCGTACATGGTTGCTGTTAGTGATATTAATGGTGATGCTCGACTTGATCTTATTGTCGCGTTCAACTCTTTGGCTAAGGTGGGTGTGTTCCTTGGAGCCGGAAACGGATCTTTCGGACTACCAATCATGTTTTCAACTGGTTCTGGCTCTACACCATATGGAGTCGCTGTCGTTGATTTCAATAACGATGGTCGACTAGACATTGCTGTTACCGATACCGCACACAAGACTATGAACATTCTTTTGAATACATGTACGTGATGTGTCTGCTGATCCAGATTTATATAATTCTAGAAATTCTCATTTTCTGCTTAATGCTTTCTATATCACATATAATTGCTTTTTATTATTCACTTGCTCGAAGCTTCAAAAATAAAAGAATCATTTGCTTGCGTTCCGCCATATACTCATTCATATGTGTCATAACTTCGTTAAAATACCCTCTACTCATTTCGTCATCATTCAACCTGAAGACAGCGTGATAGCTAAGAAGTTAATAACAGATATCTTCAAAGCATCAGAGAACGCATTTTGACTATGGCTTAGAGAGTCATCATCAGATATTGTTTAGAGTCAACACAATATAGAAATTGTAAACTAACCTTAGTATTGAAAGGAGAATCACGATAAATAGGATTCAAAACTAGTCAAAAGCCGACAAGCCTATCCTCTGAAGAAAAAACAAGTTCAATCTGCTAGTCTCAACTTTTTCTGTCCGGCAATCAATTCTAGGTGAAAACTGTGCCGAAAATGGTGTGGGTTTGAATGAGATCCTCTTCACCCATCCATTTTAGAATGTTGATGAAGTTCAAAAAGCTTACTAATAAAAGATACAAATAGTTTTTCATTGATACTTTGTGTATTAAATTGCATAATATAATTTTGTTTTTCTGAGCGAATCAGTTTGAAATATATAGTCGAAATTATTGACAAAATAATTGTTATAAATTAACAAAAAGGATATCGAAAGAAAAGTCTATAATAGACACTATCAAGAAGAGAAAAGTAAGACTATTTGATCACATCTGTAGAATGACCGATAAAAGGTTAATCGAACAAATAGTGTTTGCAAAAATGAACGGAAAATCTTGACGACGACGTCCATGAAACGAATGGTTGGCCCAAGCGGGCGCTGAGTCTATGACACATGATGATGACGAATTGTTATAAATGCATACAATAAAATTTAAGACACCATGAACCAATTTAAATACTTAAAAAATGAATCATATTATACTATACATATATTAATTTGTTGTTTATCTATTGCAAGCATTCGTACGTGCTATAGTGGATGAGAGAAGTTTGTCATAAAGGTTTTTCTTTTATCTAAATATAAAGAGCATCTTGATTTAATGAAAGAAGACACTGAAATGCTTCCCAAGTTATTTATAGTTTGTCGGATCATGAGTATTTATGAAATGCACAAGATATTGAATACTTTTATATTTGAAATCTTTTTTCTGTGTGATGACAGATCTTAGTTTTATTTCAAACGAGATTGTTGAAAATACAAAAAAAAATGAGATCATAATTTCATGTATATATATATATGTATGTATACAAACAAACAACATTAAACAGTAAAAAGAAACTACTGTCACAAATCATCATTCGTTTTTTTTTCATTTTACATATCAGAACTTTCGAAAAATCTAAATAAGCCAAGAAATTTACAACATAAAGGGTTAGGTAGGTATATATATTTTGTTTAGTTTAATTATAATTTTCATTCGTCAATGATTGAATCATTTAATTTATTTCATTATTATATCCATTTGAAGGGGCATAAAAATTAGAATACATTCTATTTCGATCACTTTTAACCATTTCATTGACACAATAACAAAAAACCAAAACCTTAAAAAAAAAAGAAAATAAATAAAATTTTTATAACATTAAGAAAGATAATCTATACCATGACGACTACTAAGACAGCAAAAATAACTGAAATTATATTCCAAAGTAATGCTCGACGAGAATAAAGTTGAGCTTTATCATGAAATTTAACATCAGCTTTAGCCGAACTTTTTAATGAATAAGCCAATGCAACTAGACCTTAAAAAAACAATCATAAATGTAATGATTTTTATTTTATTTATTTATTACCTGTTGCTGGGCATAAGCAAATAGCCGAAAAGAGTGAAAATACAAAATAATGACGAATATTAGGTGGTGCCTGTTGAACATGAATTAATCCATCATTTCCAGCATCTGTTGATAATGGATCTAATTTAATACGGATAAAAATTTTTTGTTCTTAACACATGTTTTATATTTACTTTCATATACTGGCATTTTTTCATATGGAACATTCATTTTATCTTCTCTTGTTTTCCGGTGGAATAAAAATCTGAAAAAAATAAAATGTTTATTGACAATAATAACATCTCAGTAAGAAATAAAAGTTCGTAATAAACTGTTGTTATTGATTGAGTGAAAGAAAGAGAGAAAGAAAGAAAAAATTTCATAATTATTTGTTCTGACATCTATATCCGAGAGGTTTATTATTGAATTTTTATTGGTTTATTTTTTAAATGTTCTAAATAGAATAAAATCGTATACTGTGAGTGTGTATCAATGATATTAAACATTTGATAAGAATGCCAGCAACAACTACAACAACAACGACAACAACAACTTCAAATCAAGCATCACAAAAAGACAATATTATTGATTTATGTACATCAGCTGGAGAAGTTTTTTCTAAATTTGGTGTTTTATTACGTGATCTTGATATTTGTCATCAACGTTCATTGTCAAATAATGAACAAGATCAACAATTAATAGGTTGGGATGAACAAAGTGTAACAATGCTTCGTCAAGCTGTAGAAGCATTTGCAATTAGTGTACGAGATATTTCAACTGTCGTAGCAGAAAAACGGATTCGTGAACGATAGACTTTTTTTTTGTTACTGTGTTTATTGTTCATTTTTTTCTTGTATGGTTTGTTGATAGTGTATAGATGAAAAGAAAAGATATTGGACTGATATTTTCTTTGTGAAAGTGAAATGTTGTCTTATAATTAATCATAGATAAATTACAATATGAATTTAAGATACTAAAGCATCTAAAAACGAAACTGAATTAATAGATATTGATTCATAAAGGATATAGTACGGAACTATGATTTTTCTATTCGTTTATTTTCTAGATTAGACATTATGTATGCACCAAGTAATAATACATTGAAATTATTTAATTTAATCCAACCAAATGTTCGAAAGACTATTCTTCGAACATTATTTAGTGGATTTACATCGAAATCAATTGAAACACCTAAAGATGCTCATTCAAATTTACTTGCTGACGCACAAAATGTTTTTGAACTTCAATATCATATTGTTAAGCCAAGATCAATAGTAGGTTTTAAACTTTCCCCTCTTCTTTTTAATAGCATAAATCATGCAAAGACAATTGTGATAAAATAGACAGTTTATTAATTACCATTTATAAATACTTATCATAAGAAAAAGAAAACAACAACAACAAGTTATATTTAACACAAAATAAGACTCACGACTTCGTTCTATTCAGCAGAACAGAAAAAGAATTTCTATCGCGAAGCAATATATCTGGCATAGATCGTAGCAGGCAAAAAACTCGTACACAACACCACGAGGCGTAAGAAGGAAAGATTGTGACCTAAGAAAGTACCCAACAGCGAGTCGTTTTCTACATGCTAAAATTATATCTGTGCATTCATCGTAATTGGCTATTCGAGTCTTATCATTTTTTTTTCTAATAAATAAATTATCAAATTAGGTATATATCGATCTAGATTATTTTAGAATGATTATGAAAATATATATGATGATTATTCATCACAAATTCTTGATAAATATTCTTCAACTGGTCTTGTTCATACTGGTTCATGGCGAGTACATATTGGTAATACACAAAATCAATTTATTCATATATGGATGTATAAAAATTTTGCTCACTTGGATCAATTTGTTGGCAATGAAAAAGTCAAGGCTAATGATGATAAATTAAACCAACATATTGTTCAACGTTCAAATCAAATCTGTCTTTCATTTTCTTATTTTGGTTTGATATATTTTTCTTATTTCAATAAAAAGTCAACTAAATCCATATTATTTTGTATAGGAATTCCACAACCACGTGCAAAATCCGATGATCAATCTAATCCAAATATATATGAAATGCGTTCATATTGGCTTAAACCAGGAACTTTAATTGAATGGGGCAATTTATGGCATAAAGGAGTGCAATATAGACCAGATGCAAAGGTTCTTGGTGTTTTTTCACAAATTGGAGAACTTTATAATGTTCATCATATGTGGTCATATCAAAATTTTCAACAAAGAAAAAAAATGCGTACTAATGCATGGGCTAAACCTGGTTGGTCAGAAAAGTATGAGACTATATCTTCTCGAATTGATTTGATTTATAAATATTTGATTTGTAATTTTAGCGTTGAATATACAGTTCCATTAATTCGTAAAATGGAATCAAAGATTCTTGTACCAATGAAAAGCTCACCAATGCAATAAAGCAATTTTTTTTATTTGAGATTAGTTTATTGATAAAATATATTAAAGATAGGCCTGGTTTACTTGATATTTAATGAAGTTTCTTTCCATTTCTGTTTTGTATTCTTTTTGATTTAAAACAACTTGATTCATATAATCTTTTTGGTTTTTATGGTTTTGATTTAAGATTATATTTTTATCTTAAGTGGATTATGGCACAAATTGGAACAGAAGTTGTTGATCGTCCACTACCTGAACAACCAGCTGACGATACTGAAGTACATGAAGAGGTAAAATCCTATATTAACGGTTAGAATATTTCAGTCTATGACTTATTATTAGAAACAAAACGCAAAATATATGTCATTTTATCTGTGTAATCTAATAAGCTCGTCTTTTGTTTTTCTTACAGAATGATACAATTGGTGAATTGCCAACGGATTTAAGTGGTACAAATGCTGATGTTACATCGTCAAGTGCCAGTTCTCCATTTAATAAATTTCGTGGTTCAATTTGTTGCACTGAAGGTTTTGAAAAAAATCTTCATGTTCTTGCAAAAAATCAATATACAGATCGAGCTATGGGTATATTTACAAGCGGTGGTGATGCTCAAGGTACTTTTAAATTATACTTGTTACAATTGTAAACCCTTCATTTATATTGCTTTCCTAGTGTATGCATATCAATTTTCTTTATTTTGCTTTGCATGTTGTGTCTTGTTTTGTACCTAGTATAATAGTAATGTTATGGTAACTGAACAATCTACAACAGCATGAATCTACAATGTACTCAGTGTTTATTGCCGTACATAATATTATGTTAATATAAATATGACATGTTTTTTAGGAATGAATCCAGCTGTTCGTGCTATTGTTCGTATGGGTATTTATCTCGGTTGTAAAGTTTATTTCATCCATGAGGTCTATAGATTACAATTCATTTGATAAAATTATATTCATATTTTCGTTTATTAGGGTTATCAAGGTTTAGTCGATGGTGGTAATAGTATTCGTCAAGCAACTTGGGCATCTGTATCTGGAATTCTTGATGATGTACATAGTATTTTATTTTATGATATAATTTCATTTTCTGTATAATTTCGATAGGGTGGAACAATTATTGGTAGTGCACGTTGTAAAGATTTTCGTGAAAAACCTGGTCGATTACGTGCTGCAAAAAATCTTATTGATCATGGTATTAATAATATTGTTTGTATTGGTGGTGATGGATCATTAACTGGAGCAAATTTATTTCGTAAAGAATGGGATAGTCTTTTAAAAGAACTTGTTGAAACAAGTAAATTTTAAAGTTTATTTTTTTATTAAGAAAAATTAATTATCTTAATAATTATCTAGAGGAGGTTACGCAAGAAAATGCTGATAAATATAAAAATTTAAATATTGTTGGTCTTGTTGGATCAATTGATAATGATTTTTGTGGTACAGATATGACTATTGGAGCTGATTCAGCTTTACATCGTGTTATGGAAGCTATTGATTGTATTACAACAACTGCATCAAGGTAAATGTTATTGAATGAATTTATTGATTTTTTTTTCTTTTGTTATTGATATATGTAGTCATCAACGTTGTTTTGTTATGGAAGTAATGGGTCGTCATTGTGGTTATTTAGCATTAGTTACAGCTCTTGGATCGGATGCTGATTGGGTATTTATTCCTGAATCACCACCTGAACCTGGATGGGAAGATCAATTATGTAATAAACTTAAGAGCGTAAGTTGTTGTTATACGATATTGTGTAATATATTACTAAAAGCTTTATATTTAGACACGAGAAATGGGTCAACGTTTAAATATAATTATTCTTGCCGAAGGTGCTATTGATACTGAAGGACGACCAATAACAAGTGATGGTGTTAAAGAAGTAAATTACATCTTTTTTTCTCTTAAATATTATTCAATCTATTTTTTTAAATAATTAAGCTTATTTCAACAAGACTTAAATATGATACACGTGTAACTATTCTTGGTCATGTACAACGTGGTGGTTGTCCATCTGCATTCGATCGATTACTTGTATGTTTAAATAGAAAATTTCAATCATTTGAATATCTTTTTATTTAGGGTACTCGAATGGGTACGGAAGCTGTTCTTGCATTAATGGAAGCAACTGCAACATCTCAACCTGTTGTTATTGCTATTAGTGGTAATCAAACAGTACGTGTACCATTAATGCAATGTGTAGAAAAAACGTTGGCTGTTGCACAAGCAATGCATGCAAAAAAATTTAAAGAAGCACAAGAATTACGTGGAAGAAGTTTTAAAGGAAATCTTGAAACATATATTCGTTTAAGTAAATTACGACCAAAAGTAGTTTCCAATAAACAGTGTTCATTTAATTTGGCTGTTATAAATGTTGGTTCACCAGCATGTGGTGTAAATGCTGCTGTTCGTTCAATTATTCGTTATGGTTTATGTGAAGGACATAAAATGTATGCTATTTTTGATGGATTCGAAGGTTTAATTAATAATCAAGTATAACCTATCATTTTCTTTAAATGAAAATTCAATAAAAAGTAATTATAGGTTAAAAGTTTGGATTGGGTGGCAGTCAATGGTTGGAGTAGTGTAGGCGGTTCATTACTTGGTTGTCAAAAGTAAATAAAATTAATGAAGAAATAAAATTTTTAAAGAAATTATAATTCAATTTCAGAACTTTGGCTTCTAAAGTTGGTTTAGCTAAATTAGCTGAAAAAATTCGTGAACATAATTTTCATGCTTTATTAATTATTGGAGGATATGAAGTAAATAATAATCTATAAAAGATTTTTTTGGATATAACATGAATATATATTTTAGGCATATTTATCAATTCTTCAAATGTATGAAGCTCGAAATCAATATCCAGCATTTCAAATACCACTTATTTGTATTCCAGCTACGATAGCAAATAATGTTCCTGGTACTGAATTTTGCATTGGTGCTGATACAGCATTAAATGAAATTGTTAAAGTTTGTATATTAGACATATGAATAGAAAATTGATTATAAATTCATTGATTTAAGATTTGTGACAAAATTAAACAATCTGCTCAAGGTTCTAAACGACGTATATTTGTTATTGAAACTATGGGTGGTTATTGTGGTTATTTAGCTACTATGGCTGCACTTGCAAGTGGAGCTGATCAAGCATACATCTATGAAGAACCATTTACAATAAAAGATTTAATCGATGATGTTGATCATTTACGTAAAAAAATGGAAGGACATTTAAAACGTGGTCTTTTACTACGAAATGAACGAGCTAATGAACATTATTCAACAGATTTCATTACAAAATTATTACAAGAAGAAGGCAAAGGAGTATTTAGTGCACGATCAAACGTTCTTGGTCATATGCAACAAGTAACAATAAAACACATTTATAAAAAAAAAGAATTATTTTTATATCATTAGGGCGGTTTACCATCACCATTTGATCGAGCATTTGCAACGAAATTAGGATGTAAAGCAGTGACATATGCTGTATCATTGATAGAAAAAGCAGCAACACAAGATGGAAAAGTCATTTGTAATACAGCAGAGAGTGCTGTTGTATTAGGTTTAATTAAACGACAAAATGAATTTACATCGGTGGAATCACTTAAATTAAAGACTGATACTGAGTAAGTAATTAATATTAACATTATTTCGATTAATTTGATATTTAGACATCGAATGCCACTTGAACAATGGTGGCTTAAACTTCGACCATTACTACGAATATTAGCTAAACATGAAAGTGTTTATATTAGTGATTTGATGGAAGCAGGTGTTGAAGAAGTAGATCAATCACAATAGATTTTTTTTTTCTATCCTTTTTCTTCCCACTATTTTTGTAGTGATCCTCGACTAATCTTTCTTCTTTTTTGAATCAATAATCTAGTCTTAGTGTGTAATATCTTTTAATCTATAAAATACTTTATTCTATTTTTTTTTATATTGTAACAATAAAAGTAATGATCTATGATTTGTCGAATGAATGAAAGCTATTCATTGCTTAATTGCATATTTACACGAACGCACACATGTTTGTATAACAGAGACTTGTGATACATAACGGAAGCTTTAATGAATCAAATGAACAACAGAATAGTTGACAGCTTACTAGATAGTAGATATCATTTATTTATTTTTGCCATGCTTATTAGTAAGAAGACAATAGAAGCTTTTGACCCGTATATACATATGCATTTACTCTTTACAGTCGATTTTTATTTTTTTCTTCTATTTGATATATTCGACGACAAGGAATATAGAACTAATAGGTAAAGAAAACGAGAGAAAGGATGAAAGAAACCGCATAGTATGAATAAAATATTAAAAACAACAATTGGCTTGTTCACCTGGAAGTATAAATATGCTAAATAAATGTTTCAACATAATACTATTGCAATTGCTGTTCTGATATAAAAATAATACATATATATATATTGATATTTGCATCATTATTCTATTTTAAGCTATATCGATTCTATGTACTATGATTGATAATAGCTGGCAGCAGCAGTCAGTCATACATAGGTTGTTATTGTGATTGCCTGATGGCATTTGTGTGTGTGTATGTATGATGGGAGCGAAAGAAAAAGAGAAGGAGGGAGGGTCATGTCTGTTTATTCGATTACACTCTTATATGCATATGCATGTCGTTACTCTTGTTTTGTTTATCAGAACCATTTGTCGACTATAGCTAGATAGAAGTATGTGCATAAATACAGTTCATTCATTCGGCGTTTTAAAAAAAAAAGCACTAGAAATGTATTTTAGTTGAGTTTCACCTCTTCATACTTATTATTATTCTTAAGAAAGAGTGAAAGATGCCGTATCAGGGTCATAAAATCAAAACAATTGACGAATTTAATTGTATATTCTTAACAGCATCAAATACTGATAATAAGAAGTTGTATAAGTAAAATAAAAAAAGAGAGAACTTTTTTTCTTTTTTTATTTAAAATAGTCATATACAGAAGGAGACATTCACATTGAAAAAGTTATATTTGATCATTCATCTATTCATTGTACTTTTTAAAGCAAGCAAACGATCGTCCTATTTGTGCAAATAGTCATTTCATGTCTACATGTATATATATATATATATACGTGTATATATAAATCTCGACTCGCTTTCTTTGTCTCACTTAAATTTTTTTTTCTCTCTCTTTCTAACGCACAGCTGTTTCGAGTGTACATGTATGTGACGTCTGGACAAAGAGCAAAAAGGAAAAAAAAGGGGAAAGAGAGAATAAGGGAGAGAGAACGAAGGTAGTGAAAGAATGATGTCTTTCTTCTTGCTATTATCAAAGACATTCAATTACCATTCTCATATTCTTTTTGTATTGCGTTATAGTATGCCGTCTAATCCTACAATGTGGCATTACTCATCTCACGTTCTTTTCTTTTTTTTTCCTTTTACTTTTTTTTGTTACTTGTAGACGGTTGATAGGTGCTGTTTCATTTGACTACCATCTTGTCTTATTCGTTCGTCTTTACCTTCTTCATCTATTATTTGACTTCAACTATCAACCACCATATCAGCTGCCTGATCTTCGATAAAATAAATATTTTGTTCTTCTTCTTCTTATTTATTGTGTCCTCTCAATCGGTTAACTGATGGCAACCCAAGCAACGATAGCGGCAACTACAAATAATGGTACTAGTGAAGTACGATTAAGAGAAAAAAAAGTAACATCAAAGCAAAACGGTAATAATCGAGGTGGTGATATATTATCATTATCGACACCTAGTACTGCTTCAGCAACCATAGAAGCATCTAATGATGAAGCAGTCATATCATCGAAAGTACGTCAATCAACATTTGAACAAGCCTTTTTCTTTGGTTTAACTGTTGATGATGCACTTAATTCAACTGAAAATACTTTAGAATTATTTTACAACGCATGCAAATATAATCATATAGACCTTGTAAAACGATGCGTAGAAGAAAAACGTGCAAATATTAATGAACCATTCAATAATGATTACCCTTTATGTATCGCTAGGTAAGTCTTCTCACTATTCTAGATCTTCCTTAGACGAAAAAATAAGACAAACATATGGAAAGATTCTCTTCTTCTTTTTTAACTGTTGATATTATGCAAGTATGTTTTTCTTCAACCTTTTTAGCCACAAAGGTCATATTGAAATTGTTCGCTATCTATTAGCGCATGGTGCTGATGTACATGTCAAACGTGAACTAAATCTATTAGCTACACGTGGCAATCATCGTTTATCGCGTGCTAATTTAACTTACGGTGATAGTCCACTTTCCCTTGCAGTCAAATATGGTTTCGAAGATATTGCTATAGAACTTGTTGAACATGGAAGTGATATGTTAAATGATAATAATGAATTTGAAAAATCTCCATTACAAGATGCTATTCGTCTTAATCGTACACGTATTGTCAAAGTTTTAATTGATAAACTTAAAAAAATAAAAGTATATGATGGTGAAGAAGAAACATTATTATCACAGAAAAAGGGTGATATTCTTCGTCAATGTCTTATTAATGATCAAGTCGATGCATTACGTATATTTGTACCAAATATTTGGGAAGAACTTAACAGTGATTTTATGTTTACTGTTTTAAACAATCTTATGTTAAAAAATAAAATACAATCGGATAAAGCATTTGATGTATTAGAAACTATACTTGAAGCTATACCATCATCAAAATTAAAAATGTATGATATTGGTGATTTACTTAGACGATTTTTATATATTTTACAAGCACAATTTGTAACAATCAATGATGATCGATTACAAATTCTTTATTTACGTACATCATTATTATTTACCATACTAAAATATCATGAAACAATCGATTTTACTAATTATTTAGATGTATTAGATTCTTATTTTCGTGCTATTTACAATAGTGTTGAAAATACAGGTAGAAATTACAATTAATAAACAAAAAAAAGATATTTAACATATATTCTGTTTTTTTATAGGCGAAGGTGTCAATCAAATCTATGAATATATTGTTCGTTTTTATGAAAATCTTATTTTAATGGGTCATCTTATTCTAACAAAAAATTCCGTTATTCTTAAATTACTTGAATGTGAACATGTACAACGAATGCAATCAATTGATATGTATCTATCATGGCGTGCACGTAATCCATTTTTATTAAAAGAACAATGTCGTCTTATTATTAAAAATAAATTATTATCATATAAACGTACAACAATTGAAAAATTAAATCTTAGCGAAGAAACATTTTCCTATTTATTCTATCAACGATAGTATCGTATACACTCGCAATAGTGATATTTAGTGTTGATTAGTTGTGATATAAAAAAAACAATATAATGCTCTCTCTTTTTATTTGCGTGTGTCCGTTCGAACATAATAGATATTGAATGAAATTATGACAAATTTTGAAAATAACAGTGTGTGTGTTTCTTGTTTAATTTCTTTTTTTTTGCTGTTTTTTGAAAAATTTTAATTGTCATACGATAAGTAGAATAAAGTGAACAAAATAAAAAAAGATAATTAAGAAAATAATTCATTTTTTTTGCAATTATAGTATTATTTACAGAACAACAACAACAAATATGTCGAGAAACATTCCGGATAAAATATTTTCTTTGGATTCCTTTTCGATTACACAATCAACTAATGATTTGTTATCAAATGAAATATGTTGTTTATTTCGTATCCCACATGAAATTCTACAAATTATTACTAATTTTTTGAATATCAGCGATCTTCAGTCATTAAGTAAAACTTGTTTAAGTTTTTATACATTCTTCAATGATAATAATTTCTGGAATTATCGTATACATAAACAATTCCCGCAATCTATTGTGCAATTTTATACTTCGGATATCTTTAACAAACCTGAAGTTATTCAAGTTTATAATGAAATTCAACAAACAAATTTTGCTCATAGTCGAACAGAGAGCGAATTTGATGCTCTTGCTATTACTTCAGCGACTCATTATAATGATGAAGCAATCGAAAGCAGTCATAGAAAAATGTATGTATCAAAAGAAGATTTTCTAAATAATTTAGAATATTATCAATATGATAAACCGAGTGATTATACAAAAATTCCATTTATGAAATTAATTTATTTTTATTTGATCGATCGAAAACGATGTGCAGTCGTTGATATGAATGTTATTCATCGAGATGATCAACATCTTGTTGAAGAATTTCAGGAAGATAGTTTAACTGGTCGTATAATTCATTTGAAAAAAGTATGTTGGTTGGAAATTAATGGTCGATTTGAACATAAAATTATGCCAGGAAAATATGAGATTAGTTGGCGAATAAAATGTAATCCGGGCCATACTCAAATAGATGGAGAGACAGAATTTATTGTCGTACCGCAACATGGAAAATTATCAAATTATAAAATAACTCAGAGTGAATTTGAGAATCTGATACTTGAACATAAAAATGATTGGTTTATAATCAAAACAGGTCACACAATCATATACGAACCATCAATTATTCTAACGGCAATACGAAATTGGAATATTGGTCATTGGAAATATGATATTCTCTGGGATTGTGCTGAACTGACATTGATACCATAACTTTTATTTATTTTAATCAAAAGTATAAGAAATATATTTTTTACTATCGGACAAAACTAAATATATGTGACGAAAGGAAATTATTTTTTAAGTGATATTTTGTTATCAATGTAGAAAATGGTTGCTATGTCAACATTTGAATTAGGATAGATGACGTTAATAATCGTTAAGAAACAGTTTTTTTATTAATAGAATAATTCACGATGAAATAATATTCATCATAGTTTAAAAACATCAAATTATCGTAATATAATAATTTCAGCAATTTATTATATGATTAAAAGATCGTGTTTCTATGGAAACATTGTGATTTATGACTACCCGTATCATATATCAAATTACACTAACTAGAGGGAAAAACAAAACATGTCAGCTACAAATTTGTTATTTTTCGGATATATTAAGCTTATTTAACAAAAAAGAAAATATTTATGTTATCTTCTATTTTTTATCTGTATAATTGATAATGACAAATCATACTGAATCGAGTTCACCTAAAAGTCGTCGTGGTTCTCTAACAGAACCTGTATCAACATCTACAGAACAAACAACTAATGATACGATTGCTTCTCTTTTGAATGGCCATCCATTACATCAATCTAATTCAAATGATAATACGAGAAATGCGAGTCCACAACGTCCACGGCGTCGTAGTAGTGTATCAATTATTCAAGCACTTGTCAACACAAGTCATCTACTTTCAACAAATGATGCACGAAAACGGTAAATATCATGTATTCTACTTCATTAATTCTTTTCTTATTTTTAATAGAAATTTTCTTGTTGGAACTGCACGACAATTACCAGAAAATACAACAAATGATATAAATTCATATTTTCCTAATGGACGAATGTTAACGATAATGATGGTAACATGGAATACCGGTGAAGCATCAAAATTATATGAACAAAATTATACTCCTACAGCTCGGCAAACAGCCCAACCTAAAGAACGTATGCTTGATGATATGTCTGATATATTATTACCAACATTTATTGATTTTGTTTCGGATGTTATTATTGTTTGTACTCAAGAAATGTCTGTTGCAAAAAAAAGGTATACAATCATATTAAAATAGTATTCGAATAAAAAATTCTTATTTATTTTAGAACTGATTGGGAAATATTACTTCAAGAAGTTATTGGACCAACTCATGTTCTATATCATTCAATTCATTTTGGTACATTATCATTATGTATATTTTTACGACGAGATTTAATTTGGTTTTGTACTGGTAATATCGAATAGATAAATCATTAAAAATATTTTTTTTTAAATATAGAACCCGAAGAAGATATTATCAAATTTCGAGCAGTAGGTCCTGTTCGTACTAAAGGTTCATTAGTGATAACATTTAATCTTTTTGGAACATCATTTATGATAATTAATTCACATTTTGAAGGTTTGTTTGATTTCGAATGATGACATTTTTTTAATATTATTAATTTAGCTGGACATGCTGCCGAAGGTTGTGCTAATCGACGATTAAATTTTCACAATACAACAACGAAATTATCAATTCCACATGAATTTGTTCAAAGAACTGTTCAACCTAATAAACGTATAACAGCATTAGTGATATCTAATTCTCAACAAATGTCAGAAACATCATCATCACTTGAATCTACTACAAATACAAATTCAGGTAAAGTTGATTAAATATTTCTTTTATGGATATATGCATATATATGTGTTAATATAGATATAACCAAATCCTGTGATATTGTTCTTTGGGCAGGTGATATGAATTTTCGAATTGATATGACCCATCAAGAAGTAGTAAATTATTGTAAAGAACAAAATTTTCGTGAACTTTTACTTAAAGACGAATTTCGTAAAGCACAAACAAATAGTGGTAAAACAAAAATATTTCTTCAATAAATATATCCGATTGTATTCTTCTATAGATGATATTTATTCGAAATTTAAAGAAGCTGATATTAATTTTCCACCAACATATAAATATGATTTACGATTTGATGATACTTATGCAAAACATCGAACACCATCATATACGGTAAGAATAGAAAATTGAAATCAATTAAAATAATTTATAAGAAGATGATATATTATTAGAAATAGATTCAAAAACAAGATATTAATTGTATATGAAAAGTATATGGCTAGAATTCTGCTTATTCTTTTAATCAATACACCATTTGCATGATAATAACATTCTGGATTTTGCTAATCTTTCTGTCACGTTATAATTTATAATATAATCGAAATAGAGTTTAGAGAGACATTCTCTTCAATGAAGTAGGATGAATACAGACAAATTTAAAATTAATTTCGATTGAATTAAAAGTTTAACTATACAGTTAATTATCTCTCTAATAACTAAATTAACCGTTCTCATCACTTTAATCTGAGATAAAAATATATTTATGTTTGTAAATTATTGATTTGTTTATTTCTAGGATCGTATTCTCTATCGAGATAAACCAACATCAACAATTGACTGTACGCAATACACATCAGTTGAAGGTGTAAAACATTCAGATCATAAACCTGTTCTAGCACATTTTCGAGTTAAACTTAAACCCGGTTTAAATACGTAAGTATAGTCAAAATTAATCTATTTATTATTTAATTCATTATATTTAGAGGAAATCTTTCCTATGGAAAATTTAATCATGAAGTTTATAAACGTGGTATGTATATATGTCATTTTGTTTTCTTGAAAAAAATCTATTATTTTCCATTGGATAGGTTGTAAACAACGCGAACGACATCATTCTTTAGGTGTGGGTTTACATCAAAATATAAAACGTCGAACAACTATGCCTAAAAGTTCAGTGTGTGTCCTTCAGTGAATGTTATTTTATTTATTGTGAAATAAGTCATATATTTTCGTTGAAGAAATTTAAAATAAACATAAACTATTTTAAATATATATATGTATACATGATTATCCTTGAATAGATATTGATATATTGAGATCTTGATCATGTAATCGACGACGATAAGCAAAATATCGTTTGATTTTATATGTATGATTACGCATAGAACATACATTAGGAAGTATTAATGATAAACGTGACCATTCAGGTAAAACTAAATGACAACGAGGATTTCGATATCTAATTCAAAACAAAAAAACAAACACTATAAATTCAATATTTTTATTGATTTATACCGATTAAGTAAATCATGTATTGAATATTGATATTCTTGTTTTTCGATAGTTGTTGATAGAGGTTGTTCACTTATTTCTTCCATTACATCACCTTGACCAAGTGTATGATGATGATTCAAAGGATATTTATTAATTGTTATTTCAGATAATGAAGATTTTTTTATAATTAAATGATTATCATGTTCATTATCTGTACTATAGAATTCATCAAGAAATTGATCAAGATAATGAAAATCATTAAAATCTGAATCACACGATGATGATGATGACTAGAAGAAAAAAACAATTCCTTGAAGAAAACAAAGATTGAATATATTACTGTTTCATTATCATCATCAAGTTTTAATTGATTTTGTTGTGGGATAAATATCGGTGCACTTGGATCAAGTATTGAATTTGTATTATGAATTATTTTTGTATTATCAACTGAAAGAAGTGATAATGATGATTGAGCTTTATCAATATTTGCTTCTTTCATTGACCGACATGATGATGGTGACGAAATCATTGTATCAACAATATCAAATGTACCCATTGACACTGGAAAAAAAGAACTTGTAGTCTTATAATACTTTATATAGATTGTATCTTACCAATATTACTAACACTAGGTACACTTGGTACTTCATTACGATTAGATGATTTTATAACTGAAGAATTCTGTTGTTTATTATGTAAGGATTCATGAAAATGTTTCATAAAATCGTTGTATTGTTGTATTTGGTTTCGTTGTAAAGCTCGTTGATAAACTAATCGAGCATGTTCAGCTATTTCGTCTTGTGTCATTGGACGTGTTTTAGGTACAAAAACATTTGAATCAGCTTGTAAAATTTGAGAATTTCTTCCTGTTGATAAATCAATATTTGATATAGGTGTTTGTTGATTATCTAAAATGGATGGATTTTGCGCATGCTTTATTGATTCATGATGTGTTGACGGAATATTATTTTGAGTAGCTGACAATTGTTGCATAAACGCTGTATTAGCATTCATTAATTGTAAATAAAACAACGGATTTATCGTATCGGATTGAAAATTTTGATTTGTACCCAATTTCGATAGATATGATTGAATCATAGATGATAGTTGATTTACATCACCATTGAATGGATTAGAATTAATATTATTTTGTGATGATAGTTTTGAAGAAGATCCAGCTTGATGAGTTGATAATTGATCTAAAAGAAAATCGATCTCTTATATCCTAGCAATGATCTAGAGTTTTTAAATATTGATACCATTATTAGTCCGACAGATTGTTTGTTGCTGAAGTTGATTGCCAAAATCTGAAACTGGATGTAATGATTCATTTGATGCTATTAGATTTTGTCGATTAATAGTCGATGAAAAATGTTGTTGATTTGTATTACTATTATTATTATTTGTATCGCGTAGTGTCTTCATTTTCAATTTCAATAGTAAAGAACTCGTGATATATTTTACGCGCGAATTGTCTTAAGAATTAAATGAATAGCTTCTGACGATATTTTAACTATTTGAAAGTTTCATTATTCTTATTAAGTCTTTCTTTTGAATTATAAATAATATATTCTTCATAACACTATCTTGTCATTTTTGATTCTAAGCTTCTCATAAATTTTTCTCACGGAGGAAAGAAAATCTGAATGTACTTAGACTTCGTGTAGCACTAACGCTCATTGTCTTTCTTTATCTTTAAGGAGACGCTGTTTCAGTAGAAATAATGATAGATGAATTTACGAGTAAATTCTTTTAGGTCTTATTCAACTATTAATCATCAACAAGCAGCTAAAGTTGCCTAAAGAAGCAGAATGAGACTCCACAGTAAGAAATTTATATGGTTAAATTCAAGAAATAACAGATGCATTCTCTTTTAGATGCAAACAAATAGTCATATCTAATGTTAAAATCATATTATCGAATTAAGTAAAAAAATAACATAACTAAATGCAACAGTAAACTATTGAACTTATACAAAACCACTTCGATAAAGCAGTTTTCGTAGTTGAAAGATAGTTCCGTACTGAACTTCGTTTTTCTCTGCATAAACCTTTCACGATTCAGCCATCGAACGACAAAATCTTCAAACAATTCTGCAAAATCAAAATAATCATACTTGGTTCAACAGTATTAAACATAGAATCTTTCTAAGTTCACCACTAATCGATTCTACACATTTTATGGTTCCGTATTATTACAGAAAATGTTTTCTAGTTCAATATGATCGCGCAGGTCCCTTTGCTTCGCTATTACTATAGTGGACTTTGTAGATTTTGCTATTACCACAGAGAACCTTTCATCATTCGTCGTTATCCAGAACAACCTTACAGAGGTCGGCTACTATCATATAAAACCTTTCCTGACTCAATCCTACTGAAAAGAGCCTTTTAGAGTTTCAATATTGTTGTAGAAGACTTCCGCTTCATTTTGCACAAAGTGCACACACCATCACATATTTCTACAAAAGCATTATTTTTTACGAGCACCATCATTTCCTACACTAAAAACCAAAAATGCTAAGGAAACATTATTAACACGATACATATTACGTTTGAAAAAAGCAATTTTATTTCTTATTTTAGTCAAAAAATCATAATAAAATCAAAGTTATACTCGCATAATCATCATCAGCAATTTATTTGCCATCAAAATACATTTAATAGTGCCGCTCACGGTTCTCTGTCTTTTTCGTTTCGTCTAACTAATTCTTCA